CAGAGCTCCGTCATTCCCAGCTTTTCTTTCAGGTCATTTCTCGTGATCACTCTGTGCTCTCTCAAGCACCCAAATAGTTTGTCCAGCAGGGCAGAGAAATCAATCATCTCGTCGAACTGGGGATTCCCAACACGTTCACTCTCGGGCCGGATCGACTGGGAGATCTCCGCTGGCGCTGAGGCAGCATACTTGCGTAAAATGCACAAGCTCGTTCTTGCGCCCTTGTATTGAATCGCCTTCTTCTCGATGTAGCCCTTCTGCTGGAGCGTATCGGTCCGTTTGGGCACAGAACGCTTATCTTGACCGCTGAGCCTGACGAGGTCACCTTGGACTACTCCTCTAGACTTGTGAGATGCGATGATGGACAGAAGGGTAAACTCTAAAGGGAAAATGCGATAGTTGTCAGGCTTATGGCCCGTGATCGTGAGCCACATGCGCTCTTGCGAAACAAAGACACGGAATGCATCCTGTGCGGCTTCCTTTGGTCCGGCCGTGTTCTCAGAAATGAGAGATGGATCTATCTCTCCTGATAAGGGTGTCTGTGACGGGTTGCTTGCCAGGACTTGATCCAAGGTGAAGCCATTTCCTTCTCCGTTCTTTCCGACTGAAACCTCGGGATGCCGTGTCAACCACGCCCATAGACAACATTTCAGCCGATGGTCAACCTTTGGCGAACGTGCTGTCCTACGTCCAGTGCCGTTATGCAAACTTTGTGTAGCATAGACGGCGTCAACAAAGCCCAGCACTTCAGCTGGGGATGCACCTGGAGTTCTTCGTCAGCGCCAGCGCAAAAACCTAGAAAGCAACCTTGGGAAACTGAAGTATGTTTAGATCCCAGACGATATCTTGGAACCGTGAGGAATTAAGCGAGAAATAGGAAAAACGGTTCTCCGCTCGGTGCAAAGCCCCTGACGGGGGCAGAAAAAAGAAAAAGAAAATTTCCAGCCCATGCAGGAGGGCGAACGTCTAGAAGACTTACCGCGGTCGCCACACAGGGAGATCTCTTCCAGTACAGACTCGATGACGGATCTGAAGCTCTTTGCCATAATGGAACATCTTTGCTGGCCTATGCAAAATGCCACTAACTCCGGAGGAACAAGCCTGGATGGGGCATTAATGTGGTGAGCTGCTGATGGAGACGGCGCGATTCGAACTTGCGACTTTGACGATTCTTCGTTTTTCGGCGGTTGCAGGTGTGTGGCGGTTCTCCACCGAAAACAAGCCACCCGCAGCCCCGAAGCCTGTATCACGTGAAAATATTGGACTAGTCTAGAGTAGGTTTAGCGCGTGTCTACATTAATCAGCCAATGGGAAACAGTTTAAAATAAGCCAATCAGAGGAGAAGAACCAGCTCGAACTTCCATGCACTCTCAGCCAATAGCAGCTGGCCGATCGGCGGCCGTTTTGGAGTGACATCACCGCTGGAATGCGCTTCCGAGAAAATCCAGCAAGCAAGCAAGACTACGGAGTACCATCCATCTCGATTCTCGTCCGCGCTGAGCATCGTTCGCCACCCGCCGGACCACGCATCATATAGGGCCCAAAATGCCGGCAGATGTCTGCAGTCAGCTGCTGCATACCATTGAACTTTTCCAGATCTGGCTACCCTTCCAATTGCGACCCGCTTGAACCCGTTTCCACATACTCTGAAGCATTCCGTCCGTCCCACAGTCGCTTCTTTTGGTTTCTACTCGGGGGACAATTTGTGTGAATAGGCATGATCTCTATATCCTGTACATAGATACAATCCCTTTTCCTATTATATACTCGTTTTCGATAGCAAACCCATGGTTCCTCCCGTTCCAGTTCCACCCCAGCTGCCGTACTCCCTGAGGGACCGCAAAAAATCCATTACTTTCTTCTGGACTCTGTTTGTTGTCGACACGCTTGCCCAGCCGTTGATTCTATATTTTACCTTGTGGTATTGCACGGACTTGTCCCATAATCTAGGTTCGTTGGCCGCGGTTGAAGTCTTCAATTGGACGGTTAGCTGACCCATGCTGCTTGACATGCTAGTATTTACCATCAGCACAGCTGCGTTGGGAGGGGTGTCTGTTGCAGAATACTTTTATCGATTCTGGACATTGTTCAAGAAAGACTCTGTTGTCAGACCCTTGAATGCGCGCCGATCATGGGTAATGCAGCTCCCACGCTCGGGGGGGAGAGAGAGGTGTGTGCAATGCTCTGGAGGAAGAGAGCTAATATATTTTGCTAGCTCGACTTCTTTCAAATCAATTTCACCGTGGTATGGCTCATCCTGGCAGTTGAATTGATAGTGTATGTTGAATACCAAACAAAAAATGTTTTCCCCATGTTGGCCGAAATGAACGGAGTTGACCCATTGTTATTTTATCTAGCGGCACCGTACAAGAAGAACCGTATAGTAAGCATTTGTCCCGATGCAGTAGTGCCATAGCTGTCAGGTGCTAACTGGCTTCCGATATCATCAGTTCGACTCCTCGCCATGCCTCTCCCAACAGTCATGTACTACTTCGGTGCTGTTCACCTTACCCTTGATTTTCTCCGAGCAAGAGGCTACCAGGCGCCGTTTCGCATATCCTCCACCCCAAAGGGCTACGTCATGCCCACTGCGTTATACGTCCTGATAGAAGACATCGTTGCTGTTGACGGTGCCGGAGGGCAGAAGTACCGACGTGCGCTTCGCGATCGATACCTAGCAAGTCCCTACTTTCGACAAATGCTCTTCGAAATGAACTGTTTCTGGGGCGGAGGTTCTATCATCTGGGCCACCATCACCACCATCTTAATTTTTACCACACCCCGAGACGTTGCCTATACCGTATAGCTTCCTCCCTAAGTTACAAACACCCACTCCCATAAGCAAAGGGATGCTGACAAAAGTCGTCTAGCTCGGATGGTCTCTCCCCTTCGTATGGGCCGGTCTATGGACCATCATTACCATCCCATGGGTCCAAACTGACCTTCGCCGTGAAAAAGCAGCTTGGGCCATGGGTAACGTCCAAGGCGAACCGTTCACCGATGATATCACCGCACCCACGCCAATTACAAGATTTATCTCCGTATCAGGAAGGCTGCAATCTATGATCCCCTTTCATAAACCCGGCACGCGGCATGTGGATCTTGAAGGTGGTGGTGGTGGTGGTGGTGGTGGAAACGGAGGATCTGAGGATACGGTTCCACCGACTGCTGATGCAGCAAATTCAGGGGTATTGGCCCCAGACCAAGAGGTCAAACCAGAAGAGTAGGTTTCAATGCTATTTTATTCATTATGCTATTTATATATACAGAGTACAGCATATCCCGTTTTCACGCGATCCCTAGCACAGCGTAGATGATATCCAACTACGTGTTCTCTTTATACCTTTTAACATCATATTAGATTAGATACGTGGATGGGACACACAAGTGGTCCGGCATAGGATAACAAATAATACATCCTACACTAAGCTCTATGAGCTCTGTTAGACCGGAACACTAACCTGCTGAGCAAAAAAGAGGGAACAATATCTGGTTAGGACCCACTAAGCTCTCCTGACAGGCCCTCCACGATGCCACAGTCCACCGGGCAAGTTCGATGCCCGATACAGCCGCGATCGGCGATCATAACATGCATTGGCACTCAGGTTCAAGTCCGAAACCACACCCTTACGAGTTCATAACATCTTCCTTTCCCGTATATACAGGTGATGTTGGTCGATTGCATGCAATTATCACCGGGATACTCATTATGCTCCTTCAGATGCCTGCGCCTTGAGCACAATCTGCTTGCTGAGCATGTCGATTAACTAGAAAGGGAGGGGGGATCAGCCACTTCACACAAGAATACACGCAAAAACCTAGGATCTAGACACATTCAAGGAACGGCAAATTGTCGGTACATCTGACACGATAGGATCAGAGGAGACCATGGGGATTTGCCGCAGCGTCGCCGGGGCGCAGAAAGTGGTGTGGGCACTAACGGGTTCGGCGGCTAATATCAGACTCAACGGAGTGAGCAGCTGGATTTATGAGGACTTTCTGCGCCGGGCGCTGGCGGAGGGCAAATACAAGTAGCCCCAGAACCGGTGCTTACCTGGGGCCTGGGTTCAATTCAAATCGCTCTTGAGGCTCACAAGAAGGTGACTGTGCCAGTTAACGAATGATGAAATTCTCCATCCTTGTTCCATACTCCATCGTAGCGGCCATAGGTGGCAGGATCTGTGGAGCACAGTACATCGTGGTAGGTTGATGGGGATGGATGAGATTAATGGGTGGTCAAAGTTGGCGTACCATGTCCTGTCGTGGGTGAGGACGGAACTATTTATTAATAGCAGATAACAATCTGACAAAATTTGTATTTCACTGTTTCAAACAAGTGATTGAGCCCCCGAACGCCCATCAAGATCAATAAAGAGCACCAGTATAAGATCAAAAGATTTTTACTTTGTATATCGACACTGACAAGCTTCAGTGCTGTCACGTAAGAAAATCAACCGATCTCTGTCAAGACCCACGCGACAGAATGGTCTCTAATAGGCTCCATTCTGCGCCTGTATATACCGGCCTATGTACATATATGCTTATATCGCGGGGAAAGTCACTATGTACTGAACAAAGCATCTGCACAGCAGCAGGGGAGTTTAAGGGGGCAACGAGAAGCCAAATCACGAACGATTAAATCGAATATCGGGTGAGATAAGGAAACGCACAACGGGGAAAGCCAAAACGAGAACTAAATGCTTCCTGTATGCTCGCTTGCCCCAACGCCAAAATGCAGCCGAGGTCAAAACAGAGAGCCAACCAGCCAACGACCCATCTAGATGCTTTGTGTGTATTTTGTACGCGTAAAATTTGCGCACAGATGGGAAAATATGAAATTTGGGTTGCATATGTAGAGAAGAAGTGTGGGGATGAGGGTTAGCAGAGGACAAGTACAAGATGGGGAGGTAGAACCCGTTACAGTGTGAGCTTGTGGGGAAATGGGTTCAACAACGGTATTGGTATCGGGTCGAGTGAAGGACATGAGCTCTGTCAGGATATAACGGAGAGATGTTAAGGACACCAGTGGAAAGATAATGGGCAAGCTCTAATCTGGAGCCCCCAAGAACTTGCGACGCAGTTGAGTGAGAGACTTTTTGCGTAGACGAGTTCTACTATATAATCAGTGCTAGGCCAAGCAAGTAAGAGTCTTCGAGATCAGCTTACTTCTGGGGTTTCTGGTCTTTTTTCTCGACTTCGTAATCGTCACCGCCCGTCCGTCGACGCGTGAGTTCATCTTGGAAACTCCAAGACTAGAGATATGTTAGCTTTATCTATCTATTCAAATGAAATTAAGGTGGTGGGGGATTTACATCGTCGCAAGCATCCATGTTCAAACTCCTCGCAGAACGGGAGTCATGGATAGGCATTGAGGGCCCGGTTGAATGAAAGCCGGAAATAATAGATTTTGCACCGGAAAACGGCGAAGCGTTTGACTGAAATGACCGACGAGGTGATTCAGACTGCTCGGTGGAGCTGCGGCTGACGATGCTGTTTGACCCGTCTGAGGGACAGACGTTCGAGATGCTATCTGAAGCGAAGACTTGCTTCGAGCTGGCGAGTTCCCGAAGCCGCATTTGTTGCTGCTTATTTGGCCGGTTATGTGAAAATTTGTTGCCGAGGATTGCAGGGGCATGCGAAATGAGAGCTTTGATGGCATCCTTCTTCAGACGCAATGCAAGGTCAAGGTTAGACCAAGTCTTATTGCGGTATTCTAGAACTGGTAGTCTGAACACAAAATCGTGAACGTCTTCGATATTGCGTTCGCCTCTTCCTTTATAGCTTAAACAGAGGACAACATCGTTGATCTTTACATGTGTTAAGATCATGTAATTTGATGCCCTTGACATCATATGCGAGACGTCATCGACTTGGCCGTCGGACTTGTTAAAAGCTCTTGTCGAGGATCGAGATAGGGCGAACCTCCTGTGCTTGTCATCGTTCACAGAAGTTGTCGATTGCACCGTTAAAGCCCCTCCGGTTTGGGATCTCCCAAGCAGTCGCAGGCTGTCAACAGAGTTTTTCTTTACTGGAAGGCGGCTCAACGGCGGAGTTCGTGTCGCAGATCGGGATCGATCTCCCGCGGCTCCAGCTTTCTGCTTCACAGCATCCTTGCTTATGTGGGTAAATCCAGGTATCTTTGGCCTTCGAGCCGGAGATTTCGACCGAGTAGTGTCTTGCAATGTAAGTGTGGGCTTCAGCCTCATTTCAATGGCGCCGGGGTAAGAGCTCTGCGAGTCATCGGCCGATCCACTACCAGTGCTTGCTCCTGGCGTAGGCAACTCGGCATTATCATCGCTATCCTCCTCATCATCATCCTCAAGCGGGTCCATTTTCTTGATCATGAAGGGGGAGAACCCCCCGTTTTCAAAGGCATTTGAGCCAACTCCTGGGAAAATGTATTCAAACAGCTTCTGCCCCAACTCTCGCTCCAATTGAACCTTCAGCGGGAATAGGGTCACCTCGAAGTCATCCAATATTGGAATTCCACCAATAGCTTCGAGCATGTACCAATTAACTTTCAGCATCCTATCGTCCTCCTTTTGAGGATTTTGACGCTGTTCATCCAGATATGGCACAATCATCTGCGGATATATCGCACTGGAGAGAAGGTTAAGTCCGTAGATACGTTGGATTTCAATCGCGTTGTGATTCGACCCGTCTATATTATCCGTTCGCTCATAGGCAGCGTTCCTTAATTGGAATTCAACAAGCGGCTCCCCATGCTCCCTCATTAAGTGCCACACGATTTCCGATGCTGACAGCGTCCACCTCAAAAGACCGCTAGAATGATGTTTTGTACGCTCCTCATTCTTCCGCTGTGAAGTAGTAATAGCCTTCATAATAAAGAATAGTTCATCTTCGCAGGTTGCCAAATCCTTTTCCACCGCCAAGCGATCCTTCCACCCCTGGGCATCTAGGTACTTTGACTGTATTTGGAAGAGATTTTTAATATCTTCGAGGTGCCTTATTCGCTGTTGAAGTTTGTTGACCATTTCGGGAGCGCCTCTGAGATCGCTAAAGTCTGAAGCCAACATTATCTTCTCCAACCGTTCATTTCGACCTTGCTCTAACGGCTCGCTGTAAAGTAGAAGGTCCAGTACAATGACATACATCGAATAATACTGAGACGAATCGCAGATTGCTCGGACCTGTGGAAAATTGATCGAAATTTGATCAATCCTGTTCTCATTGGCAATCGAATCGCAAACCCGTTCACCGTCTCCTTTAGCAACCTTCTCATTGTACTTTAGACGTAAGGTGTTGTATTTGTCATATCGAAGGCTGGCAGACGTTTTCTGGATAATGCGGGACAGCCCAGACGGATCGCGGTCGAATTCAAACATGGACTCTAGGGATACCCATGGGGGCCAGGCTGCTCCGGGAGGGTTTCCATATCTGTTTCCGCAGTATATATGGGCATGGCTGGAGAACGTCTTTTGGGTCGCAACGAAAAATTGAGCGCTATCCATATCCAAAGTGAATCGGCGCTGCACGAGGCCGCTAACATCATCTGATTCTCGTCGTTTGTCCCGGATTGAAATTACTTTCAACTGCATGCCCTTAGCAGTCACAAGCGCAACAGTTTTTTTGTTCTTCTCGCTCTGGAGCTGAATCTGCGGAGCAATCAATCTGACATGGTAGCTGTTGTGGGCATTAAACTCAGGAGCGATTTCTTCCTGCTTCTTAGGTTCCTCTTGCTTGCCGTGGGAGTTCGTTGAATCATCCGCATTGACATACCGCTTCGCATCATTGAGCAACTGTTCAATTCGAGCTTCCACCGTCACCTCGTCATCTTTATCTTGGCTCGCTTGGTCCGGTATATGACCGGAAGACTGGCGCCGGCTACCCATCGGCTGCAGTTTGGATTTGCCTTGCTCTTCAACAATATCTAGGATGAAATTGACGGCACGACGAGACATGTAGTAAACGAAACCTCGGCGTTGGCTATTTTGGTGGATGTACCGAAGAACAATATTTCGTAAAGAATTATTCCACTTCAATTGGATGTTGTGGATAATAAAACGGTTGTCAAAGTCGGTGACAAATGCATCATCTGGAGACGCGTAAAGCATCTGGGCACCAATATCTTCTTTCAGCTCTTTAACGTCAACGGACGGGTCTGGATCCGGATTTCTGCTATGTGTTCCATTGGCTCCTCTAGCATTTGAAACCTGTTCCTCAAGTCGTCCAAGTCCATGTCGAAGGAATTCCCTTCTTGTTTGGAGCGATTCACCTTGTTTTAGGAATAACTCGTACTGACTTCTAGTTCCTTCGTCTACTGTGCCCTCACGAACAAGTTGGAGTTCATGTTCTCCAACCAATCGCGCATGAGCATCAATTTGCGCACCGAGTACATGGAGACGCTCTCTAATTAGATCCATTTGAACCGTGCGTGGATCATTATCTTGCGACATGACACAGTAGTGAGTAGGTTCGTCACCGAAACGGCTATAGCCTGTCTCCTCCGGGCCAACTTCCCGGTGATCCGTTTGACGGAAATACGAGAATCGCGGAGAATATGCGAGTGGAAGAATCTTGGTCTTGGGATTGGATTCAGAGGGTAATATCCAATCAAGCTCGACGAAGTCATCCATATCTACCCAATTTAAGTCATGATCCGGGATGGTAAACCGAGAAAGGTCAGCAGGTGGGACTGGTTGCTGGAAGGTGGATAGGATATCATCGTCGGGTTGCTGGACATCCTCTAGATTGGTACCGCCAATACTGGCTGAAACAGCTCTGAAATCCGCTGATATAAAATCCAACTGCGCACGATTGATTTTCATCATACTCGCCTTGGTTTGCTTCAATCGTCCTTTTACCTGCGTCTTGACTTGCTCCCGTCGCTGATGGAGATCTAACATGAAGCTTTCGAGACGGGCTTTAATTCCCGTAGCAAAAACGACATCTTCATTATAGTCTTCGGCGTCCTTATGTTTGTAAATGTGAGAGACAAATAGAGGTGAAAGGAAGAGGTTGTATTTGACGGTCCCAAGATGGCGACTGAACTTTTTGCTGGTCTTCGTTAATCCTGGCCAGAGAGGACCCTGGCGGACAGGCAAGGACATGACTCCTGAAAACAAGGACCACCAATTGAAGAAGTGGGTGAAAAACCTAGGGGTTAGATGAACCGTATTGTAGCTTGCGGATGGTTCCCGGTTTGACACGGACCAAACTCTCGAGACCGGAGCCACGACAGCGACGGAAAGGTGAATATGGTTACTGCGAAATCCACGATAGGCGTCGTAGTCCTGAAAGGAGCAAGAGTTAGTTTCAAATCAACTATGAAACTTCGTCTGGGAATGAAAATACCTTTAACCTTTCCGCACTGAGATACTTAGGGTTCCTTAAGACAACGTCATAATGTGGTCGGAAGTCAAACGAGCGTTCCTGCGTGCCGTGGACGGTTTGCTCAAAAACCAAACCTGCAAGCCATCTCACATTTCCCGAAAGCTTCATAATTACTTTTTTGAATATAGGTTCATGTCTCAAGCTACTTTTGGTCGAGGCCGTATCCTTGTCCAACGTGATTGACTCATAGGAATGACGTGCTTGGTGGCTGTAATCTGGAACGGCCAGGACATACTCCCCGCTGGTGACAGTCATAAACTCTTTGGGGTCATCTCTCGTATGTATCTCCCACTGTACGTCCTTACGCCAGCACATCACAAAGCCGGCGCCGAAGCCGGTCACCACGTAAGGATCGCGAGAACCTGAGATGAAGGTAAGAAAAGATATCGAGTATAAATATGAAGCTGCACGTACCTTTGAGTCGGAGGTGAACGTCCCCATCTCCTTTCCACATTACATTTATCCTAGAATGAAAGCTGAGCCTGATTTTATCCCAGAATCCGACGCGCTCAGAGGGGTCGATCTCTGGTTTTGAAAATCCTTCAATGATCTTCATCATATCTTGAATAACGGGCTGGTAAGACATTCCCCAAGATATACTTGTCGGAAGGCTTGTATTAATCTCGATTTTCGGGTCAGAATACGTCTTGACAGGCGATACGGTTCGGCGAACGTCAATTGAGAAGCCAGGATGAGAGACCCCATCAGGAGTAATCGTTGGTGGCACAATATTGACCATAACGCGTCTGGACGATTCGTGGTCACGAAACTCCTCTGCGATCACGAAGTCTCCACTAACAGACCAACAGGCGAGGCGAGCCGGTTGACCGGAACGTAAGGCGGGAATATGTAATAGGTCAAGAGGATAATCTCTAAGGTTTGCCCTTGCTTCTCCCATATCTAGATGGATGCTCATGGGTATCAACAAGGAGTATTTCATGTCCATAGGCATTCCTTTACCGATTTTGTTGATATATTCGGCGTAGGAGTTTATTGGGAATGAGGGCCTATCGAGAACGAGATGGACGTCACTAATCGTAACAGCCAGCAAACCCGGCCGGTTAGGTATAGCCAATATCGATTCATCATCCTGCATGCCTTCCGGCGGCTCATCGGCACCAGCAAAGAGAGCTCTGATCTCCTTAATTGCTGTGTTTTGGAAGCGTATAGAGCTATCGATCCTGGTTCTCCAGGAACGTGCGTCATGCTGGCGAAGCCGAACCCACGCATCGTCGAGGGCAATTTTGCAACAATCCGTAAAGTTACGAATAGCGTCAGGGTCATATCTAACTTTCCGCTTCGCACGTCTACCTCTGGAGGTTGACCGGGAGCGGTCGTGACGATCTGCGCTTTTGCTGCGTTGAGTTTCGCCACTCTTGCGAGATGCCGCCGGCGATTTGTGAGAGACAGGGAGCGCCGATTGCGTACGCAACCGAGAAGATGCATGGCGGTGCTGACACTCCTCAACCTTTCTCACTTTCATCATAAAAGCCTCATCGCGAGACAACCGCTGCTTTTGCTCTAAGAGGCCAAGCCGATAGATGGTTGAAAGTTTCCATTCAAATGCATCGTCTTCTAGCTCGAACAACAGTACTCTGCTTCGCAATGATATCCGCGGGACATGTTTCGGGCCTTCGGGATTTTTTTCCAGAACGTACTCGTTGGTCCTTGTTTTAAAGCGATGATTAAGTTGTTGAATAGCTTTGGTAGTGTTGATGAAGTTATCAAAAACACGGTGCATAATCATATGGTGGGGTACGGCGAGACGGATGAAATCAGTCGATATATCGTATCCCTTGGCATCGGCTATCGACTCCGCTTGTTTGGTTCGACTTTCTCTGAACCCAACACGCATATTTTTTACGCTCACGATTCGTGCCCATACGCCTTTCAGTTTCGGGGCCTCCGCATGAAGGCGAACAAGGTGCGCACGAATGAACGGAGGTGACCACCTGTGACGACCAGCCGCCAATCCATATACCTGCACCATCATTGCAGGGTCCATAGGCATCGCCAGCTTCACTTCAATCAAAGGTGCCTTGAAATCAATAGTGACCAGTTCGGTTCTGGAGAGAGGTGGAACACCGAGTGACTCAGGGCTTTTGCTGCCTTGCCCCGTCGACGGGGCCTTCTTCGCTGATTTGTTGAAAAAGGTATCTTGAAGAACCATAAAGGCAATTCCGATGGCGTAGTATCGATAAAGAGAATGTTTTAGGAAAATTTCGTGCACAATTGAGTTTATGTGGAATATCGGCCCTTGTAGGTCGCTCGTGGTGCTGAGAGCAACCTCAAAACGGGGAACAGATAGAAAAGATTCTGTTTCCATATAATCTGCGGATTCCATGACGAAGCCTTCGAGGCTTCGGACATGGATTGCAAGACGTCTACCGTCTGCCGGGCCATTGTATGACTTGCGAGATGGTGATGTAGAGGTAAATCTAAACGTAGGATCATCGGATATGGCTGAATGGCTTGGGGTTCGCCTTCGGGCTACTCGTTTGTTCGGCTCCACCTTTTGGGCTTCATAGTGGGCTGAACATCCACCAACCTGTAAAACAATTCCTCGGGTAGCTGGCCGGATTGTATCGTCGGTTCCAGCAACCTCAACGACCAGGCCCAGTATCTCAAACTGAAATTGTAATAACCATGGCGGGAGCCGTCTTAAGAGGCTGGGCGAATTTGAATCCATGGCTGGCGGTAATTTAGTTGGCTGAACATGATCATGAAACTGTTCAATCACCTGGTGGACGCCCTTGGTAACTTCACCGCTCACGAGGTGAACGGAGAAGGTGTTTAAATTTCCAGAAGCTACCACACACAGCTCCGTTGTCGCGTTCAGATGAAGCTTGACTTCCAAGGATTCGGTAGATATAAGATGATGTTTAACCCCTGAAACTGTCTGGTAGTATAGCATATGGGATGCTACCCTGTACACTGAGGCCAATGAATATTGAATTCCTTCTTCAGCCGAATGAGACGATTCAATGTCCAGGGATATTGAAGATATTGAGGAGACGAGTAGGTTATAGTCATGTTGTTTAGAGGGTGCAGAAACAGGAAGAACAAATCGAAGAACCGGCTCGTGGACTGATAATTTGATCGAGGCTTTTGGTAAAAGACGAGAAATCAAAAGATGTTTGTCCTTCTTCCTCGTTCTACGAGTGACGTTCCTTCTTTGAAGTAAGCTTATTATCTGGGCCAACTTCCCTGGTTCCAGGTCCACAGACGGCGAAGTTACGACAAAATTGGCAAAGAGCACGTTTGTATTGCGTTCAGCGGCATCGTGCCTTTCCGAAACCGAGACTGTCTTGGACGGCAGTGTCGTTTTGATTGTCGCTGTTGCCATTGGGATGTACATTATTTTATCACGGTCGTTTGTGTTGTCATCGAGGGAAACGGACGATGAAATCGCAGCTACCAGAGCCTGGTGGGCGATATCGTTCCTCTGGAAGTACATCCTGTGCGCTGGGTCATTGGGGTCCATCCGGTGGAAATCAACGCCGACCTCATGCGTGACGATGTTTAAATACTGAGGTTTCTTTCCCTTCGAAAGCCGCTGTACGACATGAGAAAACCGGAAGAAGCTCAGAGCAAGTTGGATTTCCTGGATACCACGAAGCATGGAAGCTAAAAACTGGCGGGATTCCGCCACTGTTTGAACGATTGCCGCTTCCCGAGTTCCAGGATGATCCAGTTCCTCAACGATATCAGCAAAGGATATTCCATCGTCCGCATAGTTCAATTTATGCATCCGCAAAGGCGTTTCCGGCCTTGGTATTCGGCGTGTGAAGGAGACCAGATCATCGTATGGAACGTGTAGCCTTCCGACCTTGACCGAAACTGAAACGTCCCTCAAACCTTCTATGCCCTTGTGGAGCAGGCCATGGATGTTAAGCCCAAAATTGTCCACAATTTCCTCTGGCTCCTGACCTTCCAGTGCAAGAAGCACATTCTTTATGTTGAACATCCACTCTGCGGGTTGCTGATCGCCAGATGGATCTTTCTTGTGGCGGAATAATCTCCCACGCTCCATCACATTCCGTCTTGTATCAACAGCCACCGTAATACCTCCAACTTGAATCTCTCCAGCTTTCACAATCCGCAGAGTGGTGTCCGTCGCGGTCACATCGACCAGGGACCACAGATGTATTCTTCTATGCAGCCACTTTATTGCTTCTTTCGCCGTAGTCAAAGCTTTCCACATTCTAGAGTAGGCCTTTTCGGTCGGGGTGCCACGGCGGAACACCGATTGCTTAGTTGCCTCGTTCGCGGAATCATCTTCGTCACTCACAGTGACCGAATCCGACGTTTTGTCCTTTGAGCCGACCGCAGCATTTTTTCCGCCACGCAAAACATTCGGATCGACAGTCACTGATAGTTCTTTGACACGGATGCTGACATAAGTTGGCTGTGCAAACGTAGGCCAATGCAGAGACAATCCAAGACCGCGGATGCTGATGTGGATTCCTTCCCGGGGGGAGTAGGCGATACGACGTAGGGAGAAGTAGCCTATGCGCTGGATCGAGATGCCGGTGCCAAATCGGATTATCGCGAAGAGCACAAAGGTGGATATGTAGAGGAGAAAGATCGTCACAAATACCGAAGTCGGACTTAGAGAGATAGCCATTTCGACTCGCGAGCGCCCAAGGGGGTGCGAAAGGGGTCAGTGCATTCGACGAGTCGAGAAGAACATGGCATCGAGGTTAGCAAAGAGGCCCCGAGCCTGGGAAGCTTCAAGTCAGCCTGTGACTCCGCAATGACATTGAGTGCCCTGAATCACCGATACGAGCATCGAAGCTTTTACCAGGAGAGCACTCGGAGATCGACGGAGGGAACGGGAACATACCAGCAGCTCGATAGATCACGCGAAGAAGTAATAGACGGCGGGGTTTCATTCTTGAAAGCCGTCGTCCAGTATCAAACGTGAGAGCGACCCGGATCGGGAGAGCTGGAGGGAAAGCGGGTTTCCAGGAAGCGTCCTACCCGCAGGAAGGATTTGGATCGTGCTTCTGGGAAGGCCATCCTTGCCAAGGGGCCAGATAGTTCGCCAGCTTCCGGTCGGGACGCTTGGCACACCGGGATTAACTGGTTCATCCGTTCCGCTGCTGAGCCACTAACCATCCGATAGGTTAGCAAGGGGGTGTGGCGCCATCAAAACCTGCTGCCGTCAGCGAACTGCTTTGGAGGACATTTACGGAGCACGGAGCATGCACACGTCAAGAGCCACGCTTTGTCCTACCGCAGATCAAGCCATGGGCTGCATATGCACTCTGCACCTGTAAAACAGGAACCGCATTGTTCTCCAAAATGTCTATTTATGGGTGTTAAGTATGGAGTTATTGACAGATCCGAGGTAACTCTTGAGTTCTCTCAGAGCCCCGCGTCCCCAATGTTTGCCAGGCGAATTTATCAGCAGGCCGTTGCAGCGCCGGAATATTAACTTGAGCGGCACAATTGCCGCTACCAGACAAGATCATCAACTCGAAGATTGTCAGTGAACTAAGAAAGCAGCCTCCTGTTTCTCACAAACGACCCAGGGCGTCCAGGTACTTTCTTCGCCAACTATCTTGGACGACGCATAAGGAGCAGGAAACCGACTTTAAAAAGCCTTACATCTCGACTTGAGACAGTTTCTCATTGCTGGCCTTTTGTTGTCAAAGTGGCAAGAAACGTCTGAACTCGAGCAATAAAAAAATTATCCGGTCCAGCGCGGTCTTCCACCATCGACTGCAATGGCGCAACATTATTGGCTTCGGAGTTGCACCCCAGCCCGGCCGGACCAATGGCTATGATGCACTCAGAGCGTTTCATAACAATGATGTTGGGTTAACTAGAAGCTACAGCGGGGCTCTGTTGGCAGTCATATGGATTATTTTGTATGAACATTCATTTGCCCCGAGCATAAAGAGGTTTTTTGCAGTGTGCCATTGCCTGGGAGTGTGAGGGCTGAATTGCGTAACCAGAATCAAATTCGGGCAATACAAAGTAGTGCGCTCAAGATCATTATGCAACTTCCGGTGAAAGCTCACAATGATAGAGGAAAGCGGAGGAGAGAAAATCAGGCGACAACAGAAGTATGAAAGTATTCTGTGCCATGAGAGCTAATTATTTTTCCCCTGTATAGTCTATAATGTCCTTTCATTGCCTTGATACTTAACCCGATTATTGGGGAAAAAAAAAAAAAAAAAAAAAAAAAAAAAAAAAAAAAAAAAGAAAAAACGAAGAAAACAAGAAAAAGAAAAAGGATAACTCGTTAACCATGAGGTATGTTGGGGTTTGAATAACGCAAAGCTCAACGCCTCCCTCTCTAAGCAAAGGTATGGCAGGGATGGGCTATTTTGAAAGCTGTGATGCCTCTCAGTGTACCAGCAAATATTAGCGTGCGGCCCCAGTGCGGGTCTTCCGCCCTTGCTAACAACCGAGACCCGCCGAGGCCCTCCGCTGCCATGGATCATACAAGTGCATTTACCAAAGGCACCATAAAATCCTCCTGATAAAATTGACCACAAAAACTATCTATATACAAAATATTGACAATGTTGGCTTTTCCAAAGACTTGCACAGATAGCTGGATACCTATCCATGGCAGGGTAATTACTACCCTGGATGATTATGGAGCCTATTTGTACTCCGTATATCTGTGAGCTATGTGAGCATGTGTGTTTTGGCACATTCGCTGGCTTCGCCTCTAATCTCCAATTGCCACCCCTTGGTACGTATAGTTTCCTTCATCTTGTTATTGGACCAAACAGTGTTTCCAATGCAGAAAAAGCCCAACAGATTCCAGAGTTTGGTACTGATAGCTTGTCTTTCATTATCATTCATGCCGCTCCATCTCTCCTGCAAAGTCTAAGATACTTAGTAAAGTGAACCTCTAGCCTTCATCCTCGGCCCCGCCAAAGGCCTTCTGGATGGGCAGCTGGCCTTGCAATTCTTCGCATACCATCACTTGGGTCTGAGTCTCAACAATCTTTACATCAGTTTCATACATGACAACCAGTTCTCAGTGATGGGATTATGGCAGATGGTGCGCAAATGGGGCTTAGGCTGCGGGCATTACCCAGCTTCTTGTTGATATCTCTGATTTCAGTTGGTGTAGGGAGCGCTGGTTTTCGATTTTTTTTTTTTTTTTTTTTGAAGCTGTATTCAGGGGAGATTTCTATCGGTGTTGAAGACGGAGAAATTTTACAGAAGCTAGTGCATAGTTTTGAAGTATCCGCTATCGAAGTTGGATGCCAAAGTGGGAGCGCACAGGCTTCTAACAGAAAAGTGTCAGTTTTGCCTGGTATTTCAAGCTTCGTTGTTCACCTGGAAATATAGAGAATTCTGCACATCGGATCCTGGAGAGATGCGGCAACCAAGTATAGTATACAACACGGTGTACGAAGTACTCCGTACATACTCTACTCTCTACGGAGTACTCCGTACGGAGAATTCGGACAGGATCATAGGACTTCGGCCCAATACTAAACTGGTATGGTAGTTAAGCTTATGATGAATCCCTGCTCAATAGCAAGCCAATCATCCAGAACACGCACGGACCCTTGAGGATTTGGGGCCCAGAACGCTATCCAAAGAAAGGCACCCACTCCGTACCGCCCACATACGGGGTACATGGTTAATCGAAAAGACACTTAGCTACTCCGTAGAAAGAGATAATAAACCCAACGCCCGACAAAAACCGGTACCAACAATCATGTAGCTAATAAGTGGTAATAACAGCCAGCTATTACGGCAAATACGGCAAAGATATTGGTGATAGCCCTCCCCGACAACAATTTTCAAGACAACAAGAGAAGCTCTCAAGACAGCCAGTATCCGGACGGCTCCCTGAATTAAAACAAATCTATGCCTAAACCCAGCCCTCAATGACCTTCGCAGTCGAGACGAAGGATCCCGGGCTCGGTGCCCGTCCGCGCTTCCCCTAGAAATGCTCTGGAGTCCGGACACCACATTGCCCCAAACATGAAAAAAAGCCAGCAGGACCTGTGACCGTATTGATATATGTGACCCCAACCTGGGGAGAGGGAAAACTCTACTTTTCCACGCAGGCGGCGTCGGTCACCACGACTGGTCCTCCGCGTTCCTAGCAACAGAACTCATTGCGTCAGGTTAGCAGCGGAGTGCTCCGTTGCAAGGACAGGGTTCTCAATGAGTAGGTGACCATAAATGAGGATATTGAACCGACATATCCAAATGTGGAAATGACGCCGCTGCAGCAACGACCATTTTCCCCTTTTCGATTTTCACGTCGTTTGCTCATCCCTAGCAAGAGTATCGCAATAGGGTGTGCTGGTGGCTTTTAAAAGGCTCGCAAAGATCCTGTCTTCTGTCGCGTGATAGAAAAGGTTTTTCTGGCTGTGGTATCGTTCTTTTCCAGTCATTCCACATATTGCTTCCACCATTCCTCCACGATATATTTAGGGGGTCAACATGGCCCGCTACCTCATTTCTTTTGTGTTTTTGGGGGCCTTTGTAGACGGATTGGCGATCCAGCCGTCGGGAGTCCCCCTAAACCCGCAAGAAGAGTATCGTCCAAAAAGTTTACGCTCTCCGGCAATATCGGATGTGTTTCAACAGGCACGGCCGACGTCGCTCAGCCCTAGCATTTTTCCCAGAGTCGTGAATGTCGGCCTAGAAGCCAGGCAGGATGCAGGATCGGCTGCGACCACCGACACACATATGGCCACCTCTACTCCGACTCCAGGGGGAGGAGGTGAGCCCTGCACATACACCCAAGATGGTAACACGCTCATCATTCAATCTCCCGGAGCCAACACCATGTGCCCGCCTACTGTCTTGGGGTTCGCATTGGCAACGAACTCGGAGTCACCACCATCAACCTCTTCCACATCCTCCGCTATGCCCTCGTCAACCCCAGAGAGCGAGATGACCGCGACACCAACGACAGACTCGGCGGCACCGATGCCTACTTGCCCTACCGCTGCTACCAATGAGAAATGGCCCGGTTGTAAGCTTTGTCCTAGTGGCTATAATGAAAAAGACTGCCTCAGTAGTGGCACTCAGAAGGTTTGTCGCTGCAACGACCCGTGTGTGACAACGTTCTGCTTCACATAAAGCATTTGGAGACACTGATACTTTTTTGGATGAGAGGCTTGGGGAATCTGGAGGTATTTCAAATGCTTTCTTCTTGTTCTGCGGATTTTACCTATATTGTTGTGCAAAGTTGGTAGAGTTCTTCTTTGCATTTGTGTCGGACATCGCAACCGGGTTTACCGGTGTGTGCCTGGGGCGTGCTGCTCGAACATTTGTCGATGATTCTCTTAAGACAGGTGCGGTCTGAGGTTCAAATAATGCTTCCAGTAGTTTTCAGCGTGTGCTCAATTAATATCAAGCTTCCTTGAAAAAAATCACATAATTTAGATTCTCGCAGGAATGACATGAAAAAAACTTGAAAAAGGTTGACTCATACATACATACATATACATACGTGTGTGCATAGATAGTCCAGTTGTTGATTAAATTTCAATATTATACACTTCGGGCCGCTCTGGGGATATGTATGGGCAGCTCCACTGCAGAGGCCATGGCACAATGCGCTTCATTTCAGGCCCGCATCAGAAACCCATATTTCGATAAGGTCCACACTCCATTCTGCTTAGGCAGACGGCTAGGACATGCTCAACTATTGCTTGTCAGATAATTGGGACTCACGGAGCTCCCTGATCCGATCATCGATCAAAGCAATCTCCACTTCCACACCGAGCAATTTTTCGTTCAACATGGCCTTGTACTTTTCATCTGTTAATACTTTGATGGGCATCCATTTTGACTCGGCAACACGATCTGCCAATGATTTTTTGGGGAGCCCTGCTATCTGGGTGTGCCATCTATCGGCAACGTTATAAGATAGCTGCCCCAGGTAGCCTAAAAGGGAAAAAACCACCATGCCGGGGATGAAACGCCGGTCTGTACGATGTGAGATCAGAGATCAAAGCGTCCTCCTGGTCACTGAAGATGAGGCTTAGTACATACGAATAGCCCATGTTACGGCACCGCCCGAGACACCTCCGGCAACAGCACTCGCGTACGCGCGCTCCTTCGAAGTGGGATTCTCTTCGAATTGAATCCTCAGTATGTTGCTTCTTAACCCTAGGAAATCCGCGGTGTGAGCATAGGACAGCCAAGAGGTTAGGTTTAACCCCCCCAGCTGGTTTTGAACATACACCAAAACGAGGTCCCAAAGGCAAACCAGTGGACTCCGGTTGATATCGAGTGGATGACTGGATGGCGATGTAATTTCAAGACACCAGAGGTGGCGCCATATAGTAGACCAGCGGTACCTGCACAGATTTAGCAGTCGATTTCGGCTGGTTGAGAAACTCCCCATTCAGCAGAGAGAAAAGCGTGAGATATCACGGACCGGTCACAGCACCGATTTTGACCGCCGGGATGAATAGCCCGGGACTATGGGAGCCATTGGAGCCCGGCGTGCCACTCATGGTCAGTGCTTATCTATCAGCTTCCGGCGGGACTGCATTCCACACGCAGGTACGGAGTACTTGGAAGTCTTCGCTGCGGGATTCTCACCAGGCTCACCGGGAGAGGAACAAGCGACGAGACGCCGCAGCCCCAAAAAAGACTGCAAAAACTCTCGTATCACGTGATTATAATTGAGTTCTTAGTCAGCAGCCGACAAAGGCGCATTTTGGACGTTTCCGCATTTCCGCGGCAATTGGCTGGCACAGGAATCAGGAAGGACTTGGCTGCTCACGCCGCTCTGGGAGGTCTGGGGAGGTCTGGCAGGTCTGGCACAGCGCGTGTGGAGGGGGGAGGGAAATTCCCTTCCTTGCTATAGCTCTTGGTTATGTATGACCTTCATCTGCTTGGCTCCAGCCCTTTATCTTGTATCATTGCACATGCATCTTTCGCCACGTCACAGAGCAGCTGGCTAACTAACTCCCAGCAGCGAGGACCCTCCGATCTGATGTTGCATCGGGGTTTGCTGGGTGCCAGCGGGATCGTCAGGGAGTGATAAAACTACAGAGTATTCCGTCCACACTATACACACACACACACACACACACACACACACACATATGTAGTTCCAATTGAACATCACTGGCAGTGCTGTATCCTCCGTAGTTCGTTACAATGCTGTGTTCTGCTGCTGGTTTGATTCTCCTCGATTTATTTTCATTTTCGTGCTTTTTCTTGGCCGTCGTCGAAGAAGGAAAAAGTGCCATCTCGGTGGCTTTGGTGCGCCACAGTCTTAATAATAGCGCGAGCTAGTCGAGATTCCCAAATTAGCGTCATCAACTAAAATTTGTCCTCCCAAAATTCCAAAGACACAATTTCCACCTCCTCCACCACCACACCACGACCAACAGCCATCCACCCTCCCCGTCGCTCTATCCCACAGAGCGCTCGTCCCCGATCGATCATTGCGCCCACTGAAAGATTATCCATCTTTCAGCCCTTTCCAGCTTCGTCAGAAACGCGCGGATCCCGTTGCGCGTTTCGCTGCCACACACTGCAATCATGGGTGCGTTGGAAAAAAAAAAAAAAAAGTCTCCGACTTCACATTGCATTGTGCCTCGCTAGCCCGACAATGCGATCGGCTCTCCTACTTATGAAACGTGGCTAACCGTTCCGATTCCAGCGCCGCCAAAATCCAAAGCCCAGAAGATGTCCGTAGGGGCCTTCTTGGCAGATGAGAGTGAGTCCCGCACAACCGAACATCGGCTTTGCTCTATGGCTCTGACAGATGGGTAGACTATGGCTCGTGGGCCGACGAGATGGATGATCTTCCCCTTCCATGTGAGTTGTATTCCGTCTGTTTCGTCTAGCTGTGGTCCGGCCTCATGCTAACAAATCGTCCTTGCTTAGGTACGTGCAGGCTCTCCCGCACCTATGTTGGATATCAATCCAGAACGCTCTTTTTTTTTTTTGCTAATCATACGTAGCGTCCACCGAACCTCGTTCTGGTTATGGACCTGAACGTCGCACTTACGGTGGTCCCCCAACCTCGTTTGGCGGCTTCGATCATGGAGGTATGAAACCTTGTACAAGTCGTGTCGGGCCTCGGGCTAATGCTCCTTTGATAGATCGCGGATACGCAAGAGAGGAGCTTCCTTTACCAACTCAACCTCCATATACGGCCCACATTGGCAATTTGTCATTCGACGCTAGCCAAGCTGATATCTCGGAACTTTTCGAGGCCTGTGAAGTGACCAGTGTCCGTATTGTGGAAGACAAATTGACAAGGGCTCCAAAGGGCTTCGGCTATGTCGAGTTCGCAACCCTCGACGGCCTTAAGAAAGCTCTCACATATCAAGGAACTTCTCTTCAGGGAAGAAACATCAGAGTCAGCGTCGCAGAACCCCGTACGTACGCTTCCAAAGGCGACCCATCCGTCCAACTCGCCCCCTTCTTAACATTACTGACATCTTTACAGCCAAGGAACGCCATGATGCTAGAGATCTTAGTGATTGGTCCCGAAAAGGCCCACTTCCTGACCTCCCACAACGAAGGGGACCTGATCGTTCAGGATACGCCCCTCGTGGTTTCGATGCTACGTCCGATGCCGGAAGCGAGCGCGGCGGTCGCCGCCCATATGAACCTGCAGACGGTAAGATGAGAGACTTCTCCACCTGGGAACGCAAGGGTCCTCTCCCTCCAGCTGCACCAGCCGGTAGGGAAGACGGCCGTCCGCGAAGCAAGGATGGTCCACAGCTCCGCCGCTCTTCACCCGCTTGGGGCGAAGGTCGCTCACAAGATGGCTCGAGACCTCCCCGACGCGAGTTCCAAGAACGCCCACCTCCCGAGAGAGCCCCCACCGCTCCGGAGCTCGATAACCAGTGGAGAGCACGTATGCGGCCTGACGCTCCTGCACAGCCTCCTGCTCCAGCCGCTGTTCCGGCCGCTTCTCCGACTGCTCCGGCTGCTCCCGCTCTAGCTGTGAGACCTAAGTTAAACCTTCAGAAGAGAACAGTTCCCGACACTGAAAGTAGTATTTCTCCATCCGCTGGTGACTCTAAATCTAGTCCTTTTGGCGGTGCCCGACCTATCGACACTGCTGCAAGGGAACGGGAAATCGAAGAGAAACGGCTGCAAAAGAAAAAAGAAGCTGAGGAAAAGGCTAAAGCCGAGAAAGAGGAACAAGAAAGAATTGCAAAGGAGCAAGAGTTAGCCAAGGAGAAAGCGAAGGAGCAAGCCGCCGCCGCTAAAGTCGCTGCCGAGAGCGCCAATGGCTCGAAGGAAGGTGGCTCCGAACTTCCCCAAGGCGGGTCCAACTTTGAGATCCTCCAGCGGATGGAAGAGACGGAAAATGGAGAACCTGCAGCTGCGCCTCCTCAGGAAGCTTCAGCGACTCCCGCTGCTCCTACGGAAGAACCCCAAACTCCTAAGGAAGGTAGTCGCCCACAGCCTCCCAGTAGAGCCCATAACAACTGGAGAACCGGAGGCCCAAGACGCGGTCAGGGTCATGGCCAGCAAGGGCCCCGGAACCGTGGTCCACCAAAGCCTGCAGCACCACAGCAGCCAAGTGCTCCGGTTGTAGATGAAGAAGGCTGGAGCACCGTCAGCTCTAAGACTCGAGGTGGTCGTCGCGGAGGATATCGCAACGCGGCCTAGAGGCGTTAATCGTTCCAGAGCCAATACTCTTAACCATTTACCAGAGTCTCGAGAGCAAGATATCTCTAGTATGACCGTAAAGTCTGCCCTGTGACCGAAAAGGCCTCGCTTACCGACCCCTCGCGACCGCCATCCCTGACGATCCTATTTCTCCTTCCTCATAATCATCCTTTACTCAGCTTCCGAAGACATGAATTGTGTGTTCCTTATCTATGTACCGTTTCTTGAAATCTGTGATTTTCGGAGCACACCTTCCATCTATCAAACAGTCAATCTTCTTTCGCGCCTATTCTCCATCTTTCAAAATTCCCCTTTGATTGTGCCAACTTACGTGTGTGATGCAAGCTCCGAATCTCGGAATGTTTTAATGTTACCATAGCTAGGAGGAAAACGGGATACGTGTTTCGACTTTTCCTTTTTCTTTCATTTCTTCACGGGTTATCTACTTTCTTCGCGATGGAATTTTCCTTGTGGACTTCTGCCTTCTCAATCTACATACCTAGGTTCCCGAACCCATTAGCACCCTGACTGTCTTCACACCCCTTGTTCCCCACCTCGAAAAGAAATTTGAAAATTCTCGGCTAGGGAGCAATCTGGAGTGAGGAGTTTTTTCTTTTTTTTTTTCCTTCTATTTTATTTCTTCCAGTCAACTGAAAAGAATGGTTCATTTGGTTTATTCTCCTTTTTTTTTTTTTTCACCCCCTTTCATATCCTCTGGAGTCGTCCAACTCATTATTTGTTCGACGACAGCTCCCAAAAAAGACCCCTAGAGAGTTATCATCTGGCCCTTCTCATCCAAGTCCATTAAGCGGTCCCCGTTTGAGATCCATGGTCTGCGTGCTATTCTCTCTAGGCTATATTTCGAAGTTTGAACGCCCCCTCCCAATTTCTCTGGTTGATACGCGTGGATGTCGCTTCTATGAGATATGCTTTGTCAAAATCGCCGTCACTGTACCCTTATGTGTAAATTTGAATAGATTATTCGACAGATGCTGTATTTCCTTGTGATTCCAAATCTTAGGGTGCTTCTATGTTTCATTTTGGATGACACAGACCTCTGGGTCTGGCTGGTAGATTTCGGGGCTCGTCATATGCTCGGGAAACGATATATGGGATTAGGTACGTAGATAGAAGTACGTTACTTTGTAGGTAAGACGGGGTCTCAGGGGCTGAATGTTCAGTCATAGCTTCAGTGAAATTGCTTCAAAGTTAGTCCTATCAACGCCAAAATCAATGATTGTGTCGTCGACTGCGTGTAATGTTTTAGCATGACCCTAAAGCATTCCATAAATCCCACCGTACAAAACAATCAGGAAAAATTGATCCACATCGTAGTGACTCCCAAACGAATATGCATCAAAGCCAACAAGATATGCCGGTAACTCCTATCACAAAACACGTGTAAGGTCTTTGTTCGTCTGGATATAGAAGGGTTTTGCGAACGCTGAAATCAGGCCGATTATGTACGACCAATGGGTATTATATCCGCGCTAGAATCGCTCTTCATTTGAAGCGGAGTAGAATATCTTCTTCAGGACCATCAGCGCCAGGGCGATTATGACAGCAACTATAGCTCTGTCTAGCCAAGGACCATCGGTGGATTGAGTGGTGGCGGTGATGTTCGTAGTAGAAGTTGTAGATGCCTGGGTTCGTGGCCTTGACCTGCGTTCACGAACGTTCGTAGTCGCAGAAGACGCAGGCGGAGCAGGAGTAGAATGAGTTTCAGGTATTATCGAAGCACGAGATGCTATTTCCACCTGCACAGTCCCAGCATCGCCCGAGGAGTCCGCCAGCGTCATATGCTCCTGCGCACGCTCTCGCAAGCTCATCGGAGACTCACTCTTCCCCAACTCATCGCGATAAACCACCCTCAACCCATCCGGCAGCCTCTCCGCCCCATTGCTCCCCACCGCCTTATCCTCCTGCTCCTCCACCGCCACGCCCTTCTTCTTGCACACCTCCCACCACGCCTTCAAAACCTCCTCGTTCGTCTTCCTCCCAGGACACACCTCACACCTCCACTCCCGACTCCTCCTCGCCCAATCCCTCCTCACCTCCTCCCTCGCCTCAATCCCACCAATCTGGCCCTTCGCATCCCCATCCATAAAGCTGCGTATCGCCGTCAGCGCTGTGCGAATCCCCCACGCGGGCTGCCATGTCTCGTCATGGTGTCCGCTAATACTCAGGCATATCTCGCGGTTAACTTCGAAGCGGCCGGAGGGGGTGAGAAATCGGAACGACGGCGGGCGGAGCGGGTACTGCGGGGAGAGGATGATGCGGCCGTGATAGATGCCGTTGGCGTAGGGGGAGGGCGACGGGGGTCCGGCGAGGGTGAAGTGCCAGTCGAGGAGGTTGGAGTCGGAGATGGGGTGCGCGTGGAAGTATGGTGATGGGGAGGAGGAGGACTCGGAGAGCTCTTGAGCTTCTTTCATGAGGCGGCGGAGCGTGGGACCGGGTACCGCCATGGTGAGTGCGGGTGTGTACGTCGGTATGTAGGTATAAGTGGGCGAATGAATCAGTCCAGTATCAAATTAGAATCAGGAGAAACCTAGTTCCAGGGATAAATAATATCAGGCCAACGACTATGCGAAGATGTGTGTTGGCTTTAATTGAAGCTATGGAGTAGATCGTGGGGATTTTCCGGGTTGGTGATGTTGACGCCGACAGGGTAGTCACTGAAAGGACACTTTGGCATTCCAGCAAACTTCTTCCGTAAAAGGTGTTTCAAATCATTAATCTCTCTTCTTAGGTAGTACTTTCTTGTGATGAATGCCCCCATAGAGCTTTCTATCTAAATGCACGTGTATTAGTGTTCAAACTTTCGATAGCGGTTGGCCTATATATACAGAAGAATCCATCGAAATCTAATGGTACACACAAATCCTAATATAAATCACAGACTATCCCAACCGAGAAACGCCCACCCGCTAAGGTTCGTGCAATAGCGCCTCGTATAATATATAGATGAAAAATAAACATAGCCGATGACTTGATTCCGAACCAGCAAGAAACGCAACCATCCTATACGAAATGAGCCGACGCATTATCAATCCCAATTACGCCATTCATCTCCGTTCCGCCTCACACGGCCAGCCAGGTCGTGAGATGCCAGACCGTATTTAGAATTTGTATTTTGAAGCCCTCGATCCTCATCAGAGCTAGTGCTATAGCGGTCAGAACCACCGCCTGTATCACTGTCATCATCGCCGGGCGTGGGCCGGGGAGATCTCGGTGCCAGAGTCTTCATCGAGACCCCGGCTGGAGAGTGACCAGTCTCATCTGGACCGTCGTAAAAGTGAGAAGTACCTGAGCGCTCGTCGTCTGGATGCCACTCTCCATAATATGGGCTGTGTGATTCTTGTAGCTGTTGCTGCTGCTGTGATTGGAACTCTTGCCATCGTTTTGCGCGACGATTTTCAATACTCTGCCGCGCCTCCAACCACTTTGAACTTGGTTCCCAGTGCCAGCCGTCTCCGGTGGTGCTGAAAACTGGCAGAAGCCAAAAAAGAGGGTTTGTGCCAAATAAATCAGTCAAATTCCGTCGCCAGCCGAGATCGAAAGCATTTGGCAATTTTTCTGAGTCCTGTTCATCCAAGTACTCTTCATACCTGTCTCGCTCTCTATGTCGCTCCAGCTCCTCATAAGATCGATACAGAGATTGTTGGGCCGGGGAACGGTAATCGCTGACATGTTCATTTGGATCGTATGTGTCGCCTAGCTGCGAAGGATGAGGTCTCCGACTCGGAACAGTAGGCGATGGTCGCTCCTCTCCTTCCTCCTCCCTAGTAACACCCGGTATGGCATTGGCATGCATGTCAAGTAGCTGCTGCCCATAATTATGCAAGGTGTTACCGATACCAGCATCACGACTTCTATCGTAGGATGCTAATTGTCGTCGCTGATTGTCAAGGGTCTTCCTCAGTGGAGAAAGATATCTCGTCTTCTCGAGACATTCAATGGTGGTCAACCCACGCATTGCCAAGCTGATATGCCAGGCAGTAAAGCCGGACAACACTAGACCAACAACCCCGGAGATTATTGCCAGAAGGATGACATTGATCGGCAGAGCATGCTCGACGTAACGCGTCTCCGCTAACATTTCCTTCCATACCCACGTTGCCGAGACTGCTAAACATACATAGCAAAAGACGCAGGTGTATATTAAGAACAACAAGAAAGCCTTATAATTATAGAAACCGACACAGGTCGACAACCACGGACAGTGGTGATCCATTTTCAAAACACATCTCTTGCATGTTGAACAATGGTGGGCTCTGTCTGGTTTGGGGCACTGGCATTTTTTGCAGTATCTTTTCCCGCCCGAGGAGCTAACGGTCAGCGCACTGTACGGGAGGTTCTCAGTTGTCGGGAGGTGAGTGTATTCGTGTCGACCCAACCGATTCGAAGATCGAGCGTTAACCGGAGATCCGGGATCCGTAAACACGGCGATGGTATATGAGGTACCTAAACAGATATAGAAAAATATACCAATTATAGCGCTAGTGCTCCCTATTTGTTTGGGATTAGAATCTTCAAAAACAATTTCAGGCCGTTGATCGCCAGGACAGCAATATACCTATCCAGCTATTCTTGGAGTATCCGAAGCCTACTGTTGCCTGTATCCATACGGCCCATGTCGAGAGGCCGTAAACAAACACGAGCGGGAAGTATTTTGCTGCGCCGCAGATGAAACGTTCGCATTTCCGAAATAGGCGACTTGACCGGCGCTTGTTGGGCGGGCTTGGTGGTTCCGGGGAAGCAGAAGCAAATGCATCCATAGTCAAAGAATAAGAAAAAGGTGTTCACAGGGCGTTACACCAGCGTCATCGCGGACAGGAATCAAGAAGATCTCGAGGATGAGCAGCTCCAGGTTTGGGCAGATACCTCGGTTCAGCGATGGATGGGTTACGGGAAACGTAAGGAACGGCGGTGAACGAGAGAAACAGAGCGCTTGCTAAAATCAAACAGCAGCAAGGGGAGTCGCCTGTATTAGTCTGATGGTAACATGCAGTCTTGTGCTTCCAAAGGGCTGTCGGTCGCGATGAGACGAAACGTTGCACCGCCACATGATGCCCGCCCATGCCAAGGCCCAGCTTAGTCAGGGCTCCGCTCCTCGCGCGACGACGACAGCAACGGATAGTGATGAAGATAGCCACTAACCGAGACACGGACGCAGGGACAGATGCGGACGTAGACACGGATGCAGATCCAGATGGAGCGTGGTTGATTGTGCAGGACATCAGCAAGCATCCACGTCGGCTTGTATCTCCCCAAAGCCCTGGGTTCCCGGATCTTATTCCTGTTCAAGGAACAAAACAGACGCCCCGTTACAGATATAGATCCGGGGGTGTGACAACGCAGGTGAACTACTCAACAGTCTTTCATTGCTATGATTGCCTCTCCCGACAGCGGATGCATGAAGTCCCTCTCCAGGCCACTCCAAACCGGTGCGACTAGGTGGTAATACGCACACTACCTGACATGTTATGCTCGCAGGGAAAGACAATGCCGTGCAACTGATATCCAGAATATCCAATAATCCAATTGGAAATAGTTTATTGATATGTCCCCAAGATCTCTATCACTCGTGGAATGGGTCCGTCTGCCCCGCGGTCACTGCAGGAACTTGTCCAAACGTCGACCTTCAGATGATAGTTATCATTCCCGCCCGCCACGGTATTTCCATTCATGAAACGGTGGGGTTGTAATCCCCTCCCGCTTGCCCTACGATAATATGTTACCAGGGCATCGGACACGGGGTGGAGCCGCCAGAGTAGATATATCTGGCAATTGATATCCATGGAGCGTCATAAGCACGCACGGAGTTCATTTCCCCCAAAGCCTCAAATGGTAGTGGTTCCGTTCGCAAGTCTTATGAGAATTGTCGCAGGCCAGCAGGTATAAATGCGAGTAAAAAGACCACCTTGATCCAAACTCCTGTTCCTATGCGTTAGTCCACAGAAATATCATCGGGGTCCGATCACAGCATATTTGGAACCCATTGGTAGACTTATCTTGACTTCTAGTATATTTTGGAAAAAGCCAACCATGATCACTCACAAGGGATTTGTCTTTGCTTTTCTTCTCTTCAATTGTGAGTTCAATTTTCACGTAATGTCTTCTTGCATATTGAAGCTGACAAGTAGAAAAGTGCTCCTTCCAGCCATTGCTGTATGGATTCCACCTATGTCTGTTCAATGCTTCGAACATAGCGACTGCGCCTCGAATTGTTGTGATTTAGAATTGAACATATGCGACAACACTCCTGAAACACGACTCAGAGGGTGCAGGTTTCGCTCCCGTCGACTCAGATATGTCAAGAGGGAGGATCCGCCACCCACAACAACAGCTCCGCCGCCAGAATCAACAGCTCCACCCGAGTCATCAGCCCCGCCGCCTGAATCAACAGCTCCACCCGAGTCATCAGCTCCGCCGCCTGAATCAACAGCTCCGCCAAAATCAACAGCTCCACCCGAGTCATCAGCTCCGCCGCCTGAATCAACAGCTCCGCCAAAATCAACAGCTCCACCCGAGTCATCAGCTCCGCCGCCTGAATCAACAGCTCCACCCGAGTCATCAGCTCCGCCGCCTGAATCAACAGCTCCGCCAAAATCAACATCTCCTCCCAAGTCATCAGCTCCGCCGCCAGAATCAACATCTCCGCCACCAGAGTCATCAATGCAACCGCAAGAAAGCCCTCAACCAACAGCAGGCCAGGGCGGTGCGGGAAAACAATACATTACTGGTCCATGTAGCAAAGATACGGACTGTCTTTCTGGATGCTGTGGCTTCAATACCGGCGTATGCGAAGCACCTCTTGACACGGAACGTGCTGGGGGATGCGGACGTGGGGATTCGCAGCCCAATTGGTCAGCTAGCATGCTGTACCATGAAACCTCTGCTCCCACTCCTTGATAAGCAACGCACACATGGGTGGATGGGATAGGATGAAGGCGAAAGAGGTTGGATTGCTGTTGTGCTTTTGTATTTTACAACAAAGGCGGCCTCGTGCCGGCAACGGGGTTTTAGTTTCTGACATCCTGTATTACATGCATTGATGTGCGGGTAAAGAAAATTTTAAGGTGTTCAACTATCAGGTCCTCATGTCAAAAGTCTTCGTAGTTATTAATTCTTTATAATTGGAGCTTTGCCCGTATCTACCTCATCGGAAAGCTAGAGGCTCGTCGAGTTCCCTTTCGGCTTACTGTCCAATAGGCACGTCCCATGCAGGCGGAAACGTGGGTCGCTCCGGGTCGGGCCGTCCGCTCTTGAGTTTACAAATGTACTCGTTAAATCTAGGGTACCCGGTCCCCATTGACCTATTTGGTTACACTACCTAAGGTCAAGGCCATTTTTCGACACCACGACACATGCTTTTCCAGGATTGTTTTTGAGAACCTCCCTGTCCACCTGTGATTGCTGCTAAGGAGCTGCATTCCCGTACCCCGGGAATATCATGTGGTTAATATATGTCCGTCGTCGGAAGCAACGGGAAGGATGAACATCCCCGCAACCCCGCTTTCCCGTGGCGGAGTCCCTGGCATTCGTGCTCCGCCCCACGGTATGCCGACAATAAGGAGAAGCCGAGAGTCCGTCACAGTTGGTGGGGTTCGGTATAAATAACGTGGTTTCGTCCCGGCAGATCCCGTGGGCACAATTGCACGTTACCTTCTCATCCAGGCATTGCAGACCAGAGAGACATAGAAACCATGGCGGGAGAAGACAAGGTCCATTTCTTCGACATCACCAGCATCAATGAGGGTATGTACGCACCGCGACCCCACCATCTTATCCCAAGACACAGTCGCTCACCGATTCGACGCAGGACCCCTCAAGGCGTGGTCTCCCAACACCTTCCGCACCCGCCTCGTCCTCAACTTCAAGCGCATCCCCTACACTCAATCCTTCCTCTCCTACCCTGATATCGCCCCAACTCTCCAATCCCTCTCCGTTCCCCCAGTCACCAAGCAATACGTCCCCTACGCCCTCCCCGCCATAATCCACAAGCCTTCCCTCTCCGCCAAAAACCCCACCCACTTTGCCATCAGCGACAGCCTCCAGATAGCCCTACACCTCGAATCCGCCTTCCCAGCACCCGAGTACCCCTCCCTCTTCCCGACCCCGGCAAGCTACCCGCTCGCTATGGCTGTCCTCAAGCTCATGACCGAAATCATGGCCAAACAGTCCCCTATCGGCCTCCCTAAGGTCCCCGCCTACCTCGACCCTCGCGGCCAAGAATACTTCAACCGCACCCGCGCGCAGCTCTTCGGCAAGCCGCTCCCTGAATTAGCCGCCAGGGGTGACGAGCTCGAACGTGTATGGGAGGCTGTCACGGAGATCCTGTCCACGCTCGGGACCATGCTGCGCGGCGAGCCGGGGAAGCAGAAGACCGGTCCGTTCTTCGAGGGTGATAAGGCCGGATATGCGGACTTGTTGGTTGCGGCGTTTATGGTGTGGTATTCAAGGAACGATAGAAATGATTGGGAGAGGATTATGAGCGTGGGCGAAGGAGAGTTTCAGAGGTTATGGGATGCGTGCTTGCCTTGGTTAGACGGTCAGGGAGAGGAGATTGAGTGGGAGGTTCCAAAGGCCTAGACTTGGCCTTGCCTAGAATATTTAGGATGAAAAGAGTTGCGGCACGACAGATATCATCGCAGGATGATAATGAAATGATATCCATGGAACAATGGCAAGTTTTTTTTTTTCGCTTCTCTCGAGGGATAGTATTAAGTAACATAGACATAGGTATTGTGCCTGCCTGCCATAGCACCTAAATTATGCAATGTAATTAGTTAAGCCAACCCGAGCCTCTTTCACTGCCGAAGAAGTTTTCAAGTTAATACAAAGCGTTCACATTTATTATATACCCCAGTATGCTTAAAGTCCAGTGCATCAAACAAAAAGGTTAGCACTCCTATTGCGCCATGCCAACCATCACCCCAAAAACACCATAGTAGAAAGTAAGGAAAAAAGGTGCAATTACAAAACAAAAGACGAGGGAAAAAAAAAAAAAAAAGGAATTACATACGAGAATCCCGAATATATATGTATTAACAAGAAAATGTGAAACAAGTACAATCGGGCATCACGTCATCAATGGGAGGAGGAAGGGAGGGTATCGATATATTCATTGGTCTGTTGGGTGGGACAAGTCGCCAGCACTTGGATGTAAGGGCTAGTCATCCAATCGCGGTTACGCAGACACAAGTAAGCCACGACGATTGTTAGGGCTTGTGGTTGTGGTTCCAATGTTCCCCACGTCACACCAATTCTTGATCGGCTATATTTGATGGTGGGTCAGTGTATGTTTGTGTTTACCATGGAGGAGAACAATACTAACCAGGCATGAAAGATACTTGCACCAAGAGCACTCTGACCGGTATTTGTAGAAGTTGTTGAGAAGGAGGATGAAGGCAATCAGGATGCCGACCAGAGCACCGGCTCGCAAGAGCCACCATGCCCACCAGAGGGGCTTGCGGCCTTTGAAGAACCCAACTGGTTCTTTGATGAATTTCTTGGCGCTCTCAGCCGGAGATCCGTCCACAGACATATACGGTGTGGTGGCACCAATTCGTTCGCGTAAGGTATCAGGAGAGCGCATCAAACAAATACCAAGCGCCAAGCCCATTAGGAATCCGCCGATATGGGAGAAGTTGTCCAAACCTGGCAGTAATCCCAAGACGAAGGAGATAGCCACGGCAAGAATCATCATCAAAAGATACGTCATCGGCCTCCTGATGCTATTCCACTTGTAAAGGAGGTCCAGAACGCATAATGCCAGGATCCCAAACAGGGAACCTGACGCTCCAGTTGAGGCGATGCCGGGCGCAGCGAAATTACCACCAAACACGAAGCCGAATATCCCACTAGCGTAATAGATAATGGCGAATCTCCACCAGCCGATACTCCTTTCCATATCTGCTCCGATAACCAACTGTGCCAGGAGATTAACGCCGATGTGAATAAGACCGGCGTGAAGGAATATCGGGATAATAAATCGAAACCACTGATTGGGTTCGTCCTTGTCGTTGATAGACCCGCCAGGTCTTGGGTTTGGCACACCCCCAAGTCCACAGAGTTCAGAGAGCGTACACTTGTTGTCTGGGCTCTCCGGATCGGAACTTGTAGATTGGGGGCAGGGCCAGTTTATCTGCTCTTTAGCATCCTGAACGCCTTTCACATTCCGCATGCAGGCCACGAATCTCGCACCCATATTTATCTGGACATACGGCGAAGGTCCGATCATGGGGTTAAACTGCGGGCGAATCATGATGGGAGATCCGGTAAGTTGAGCTGATGTGCAAGCCTGTGTCAGCAAGCCGTAGAAAAGCGCAGGGACAAAGTGTGGAAAGTGCTTACCATATTTCGCGATCTCTGCGATGAAGACGGCGACTTGAATGATGGAAGTGATGTAGACAACCCATGGTATCTTTTTAAAGCGACTCCGTCTTCTGCGCTTTGGATCGCCGATCGGGGCATCTGGTACAGGAGAGGCGTTCGCGTACTGAGCAGGTGAATAATGAGTCTCGACGTCCGACCACTCAGGCCTTCCGGGCTGCGAAGCAGCGTTCGGTTTCAGCGGGATATCATCTGCGTAATCGTTGGAATTGTATTTTCCCCCACCACCTGAAAGATCATGGTCTGAATTCATATCATACTGACTCTGCTGTGGGCCGTAAGTGTTGGCATAAGGTTGGGCGGAACTCGGGCTTTGCCCATGGTTCCAGGACGGTTGCTGACTTGCATAGCCGGTGTTGTAGTACTCGTTCGCGGCCATGGCGACGGCAGGCGGACGGGGCGGGGGTGAAGTGAGCGACTTGGATTGTTAAAACGAAGGAAGGACGGCAGGCGGGAAGCAAGGGAGTGATATAACAACAGCGATCGGACAAAGCAGCACAGCTGAAGGAGATGACATGGGGGTAGTCAATGAAGATCCTGTTACAGCCTCACTTGCTGGGTCTTTGCTACGTAACCAAGCCAAACCTAAATTTAGCCACACATCACGTGATGATACCTCAAGGCTTGACCACCCGCTTTCTGGAGTTGAGATAACTAAGGGCAAAGAGAACGAGTGACTTGAGCCGGCAGCACGTTCTGGGTCTGCTTCTTGCCGGGCGACTAAACGGCGGCCTTGCTGTGTTTCTCATTTCTACGGAGTATGGGGTTCTTGTCTGCTCACGAGTTTCAGCAGCTCCACACTACTACCGGACTTGCTGCACCTGTCAGACGACAGGGGATCGCTTCAGGATAGCAGACGACAGAGATCTTCGAGAAACTCTATCCACTAGCTCTTCGCACGTGGTAACGTCGTTCAGTCGAGAGTCCTACGGCGTCTCGAAACCCAATAACATCGTCCCGGATCGATTCTCACTTTTTTTTTTTAAGACCTGATGTTCCAAATGCGCAGTGGTTCTTGCACGATTGCCGACCAGGGGTGCAGAAGTTCGTTTCACATCATGAAACTCAGCTTCATGAGACACAAGTTGCTACATCGGAGGCGTCCAAAGTCACCATTAGCTCGGAAGTTGTCCTACTGAATGTAGCACACCGTTGAGATTGACCCTCTGCGGGTCTACCGTTCGCAGCGCCTTTTCTCCTCTACCCGATCTCGAGCATTCCAATATGCGGAAGCTTCGTTGTGGGGATGTTTTTACGCCCCTTTGCCGTACCCCGAGTATCAAGCTAAGTTATGAGGGAGAGCCATCCTTATGCCTAAAGGGGCAGTAAGAGAAGTTGTGCAGAGCTGTAGTCAGCCGCTACCGTATGCTGATGTGGTATTATAGAAGATCGGTTCGTCTTGCTTGTATGGTCGAAGGTTGCGTGTGCTTTGTATTGGCATACCGTACGTTTCTCAGATGAGACAAGTCAGGGCTGTTCACGCGTCCTTGGCGAAAAAGATGTTCGGTTTCAATATCCTCTATTACATATAAAACTCTGGAATCCTTATCACACTGGAATGCAATGACTCATGACCTTGTGATTGTCGTCGAAATAAGGCTGAGAGATTTCGGGAGTGCATGTGGGCCATCAGGGTCCCGTCCCCGAATGCTTCAAGATACGTATAATCTTGAATTGCATGGCAGCAGAGCCTCAGCTCATAGTGCTGTGGGCCTTAAATCATAAGATTGCACACATGTTTCTTCCCTATCAAAGGGGCCATCGTAGTGACAACCCCACTTTGGACTGCCTTTGCATCTGTCGTCACTCTGGACTCTTAAGCTTGCAGGCAAGGAACGGTGTTCCCAAAACAGGCGTTTGTTTTCCTAGGGAGAGACGATGAGCAAGCTGACTGGCTTGCTCAAGAAGCCAGAGGGTTGAAATTGGAGTGACGCGGTTGGATTCAGGAGCCGGAGCCACAGCCCCAGGCCCCGCAGCTTGAGGTGCTGGAGGATCTTCTTTTCCGTCCCGCGCCCTATTTTGCCTGAAGTGGACCGCTTTCCAACTGGTAAATTCTCCATCCTCCATACTGGGATAGTTCTCCAGAGATTTGCAGATCTATAGAATATGTTGGGTCTACGGAATATGGAGTACATATGTAAATATCGCCTCTTTTCGATCATTTTCTAGCTTTTCGCCTCCTTGACCAACAGAACTCGACCTTGGGCGATAACTTTTGAATGCCCCAACAATGCTTGAAAAACATTCGGCCACTGGATAGGTTTTGGTGGGTTTGGGGTGGGCCCTGTAGCTTCGAAGCAACGGTGACGATTTTTATTCCTGTCTGGGGCGTTTATACTAAAAAAGCGCAATCCATTCAGCAAAACAGCGCAACCTACCCATGCCCTTTCCTGCTGTTTGTTCACTGAAGGGTCGGGCGAAGCCCATTGTCTTACCTTGTTTTTGTTAGTTGTACGGGATCAATGGACCAAATTGACACATACGTGTTCCATCAGTCATTGCTTCAGGAATTACCCTCTGCTGTAATTCGGCACACAGAGAAATTTCCCTGGTGGCACTTTGGGTCCTAGTTTGATGAGGAAGAATACAGTTTAATTCCAGGAGGGTCTGTGATTTGAGAGATATTGCACCGCCCTCCCCAGAGATAGCTAAGCCTACAGCCAATTTCGATCCAGAACATGGGCGCAGGGAAGAAGTGGAAGTCTGGACAGGAGGGAATAGGCTCTATCTTGAGTAGCAGAATATGTGACCATGTTTCTTCTGTCCTACAAACGAGGATGGGTGTGGTAAAGCGTAAAATGTCCGTGTTGTGTGTCTCTTCGTGTCATCCTTGTCGTGCCTTGTCATTTCTAGTCTTTGGTTTCAGTGGAAGAAGGACATTTCTTCATCGATGCTTCTGTGAAGCCATCAATCTATATAGCTTACCTTCAGGGGAGCAGCCGTCTAGATCATCTATCAGTTTACGTTCAAGCTTTCAGGTTCAGAGACATCACTGCCTGATTGCTATAAATACACTCCTAAGTATATCTGCTTCCTGTCTTGGAGGAATAACGTACAGATTGCGTTATCTGTCAACATCAACAGTTGGGCTAGAACAACGGACCCCTGAATCAATTGCTCTTGGTTATGGCAAATGCAAAGCCCGCGGTACGTGATTTGAAATTGTTCCCCGAACCTTGGAGTGTGCAAGTTCTGGAGCTTGGGCAAGCCGCATCTTTAAAAAAAAAAAAAAAAGCGGCCAGAACGCGAACTCAAAGCGGCTGGTCTTGACGTCACGCTTTTTCAGCTCAAGCTCAGCATTGACACGCCTGCTATCAGTGCATGAAATGACCTCAGGGTTCCAGCCCACGAGTTATCGAGATACAGAGATCGATAGCTCCACGATGAAGTTTCCTCTGAAGCCATTGATCGTGATATAGACGCCGAATCGATCATACACACAGAGCTGGCCCGTTTTTGCCCGGGCAAAGGACTGGCCACGATGGCTGCTAGCAGGACACAGCCTCCCGATGAAGACAACGCCGTGACCCGCCAACAACGCTCCCACCGCGCCCATCAGGAATTCATTTGCCTTGGCATGCTTAAGAACATTGTCGAACGGCGCGGCATCGACTTCGTCACCGTCGATGACCTTCGTTGCCTCGAAGCCGTCCTCATCTCCTCACTCCGATTCGACGACCACACCAACGTGCCCCCAGGATTCCAGCATAGCCCCGCGGGTAGGGAAGCCGATCAATTTCGAGCCATCATCTTCGGTCTACCGTGGCTGCTTAGAAAGGAGCTGGTGGAGTTCTTCGATTCCGAACCGCTAGAGCACAATCCGTACTTAGAGCGCTTCCGCCGCGGGCTGGAGAACGGGAACATGCGGTCGACCGGAGCTAGAGCGTCGTCCATGTTCATCGATCCGCAGACGGGGAGGCTGAGGGTGAGGCAGAGACCGGAGATTCGCGTTTATCGGGGAGAAACGCAGGTCTGATAATCGCCAGGAGCTTTTTTATTTTTATTTATTTATTTTTTTCTGGTCACACCTCTCTCGCATTTCTCTAAAAGAAGACCCCAACATGAATTAAATATCCCTCCATCATGGTTTATCTAATGAGGTCGCTCTTTGGACGGTGGGGATACTTGCGCTGGAGGTAAAAGATTCGGCGTGGTGATCAGAATATATTCCGTGTGTAAAGTTTGCATGCTGTATTGTCTACTTTGTATGCGCCTTGCCATGGATTTGGGGTCCAGAGTCTGAAATTTTCGATCGTCGCTACGGAAGGGTGGAAATGGTGACAACGGCAAGACAGAGAGAGTATCACGACACGGCTTCTATCAAAACGAAAGCAAAACAAAACCAATAATATTTACGACGCAGATTTATCGATTATACCCTGAGGTATAGATAGCATCACTTAGTTTAAAAATTACCCAGGCCAGCTTAGGTTCAATTTAATTGTGTCAGTTGGTTATCTCCGTCAGCAAAAAAAAAAAAACAAAAAAAAAAAAAAAAGAAGGCAATTATCGATCGTTGTGATTCTACTCTCAATCCTTCCAGCCCACTTTCTCAATTTCCCCGATAACATGTAAGACCACATCGGCTGCGGATTCTCCCATCAGTCGTATACTCTCGTCCAGTTCCCGTTCAACCGTCTCGCTAACCCCTGCATCATCACGGATACTTTGTGCAAACTTCTTCACCGGGAGAAGAAAGTTCTCGGTGAATTCTGGAACCAACGTTTGGAGCTGAAGCTTCTCGCGCAACGCCTCTGATCTGCACAGGAAATAGTAGAAATTAAGAGCCAAAATGTAAAAAGTAGCCTCCCGGCTCGTGAACTTTATCCACTCGATCAATATAACCTGCGTCGACGAAGAAGGTAGATTGGAGAAATCGTCTGGAGGCGGACTGTAGAGAGATTTGAAGAGAGTAGCGAATGATTCCACGTCTGTAAAGGGGCTAGATGCATCTGGGCCGGCCGGGGGGTCGAGGAGTTCTTGTTTCAGCCAGTTTAGGGCGGATTCCTTTGCGTATTTAAGGCCTTCATCGTGGAATATTTGTAGAATGAGGTTATACCTGCTTTGGGCGTTGGGGTTCGCACGGAAAATTTCAGAAGGTATCTTTTCGATGCGGCTGATTGGGCGCATCGGTGGGGCGCGTACACACGTCACCATAGCCAAAATGAGTTGATTAAAGTCAGATTCGGCTTGAGGGGCGCTGTCTGGGCCGTAGTGACTGGATGTCAGGGCGAGAGCCAGGAGAGAATCGAGCAGTGGACCTGGACCTGGAGTTGCAATCTGTTCTTCCGCAGCTGCCTTCTCGTTATTCCCTAGGAAATTTGCAAAAATTATAGAGATATCCGGGTACATGGGTATGTCTATCTTAGGCTCTGTTGACCCGAAGAGAGCGGCAGTCGCACACCGTGCCGAAAGCAGGATGAGACAACCATGTCGTTCCAATGGAATATCCTCAGGGGATTTTGGCATAGCCTCAAAATCCAGAGGCGCATCATGGTCCTCGACCGGATTGAGAACAACCTGAAGTAAGGTCTTTGTGTCCAACCCAAAGTCTCTGGATAGTGCCTACGGATTATGTCAGGAAAGAGCAATGAATTAGGTAAAAATCGAAGAAAAGCCTTACAATTATTTTACCCATAGTTGAATCTCTTTCCTTAGCATATTCTGCCTGGTTAAAATGCTCTATTAAGCTGAGACCTGGGGTTACAGCACCCGGATCGAGTCTCTCTTGTACCCGCAAGGCCCATTGCATCCCTGGTGGCTGTTCATCTGTGCAAGATAGAAGGTACGCTTTCAGCACTTCTATAAGTCCGAACTGTACCAGCCTTTGCGTCAAAGTTCTCTCTTGTGCTAGGGCATTATCCGACTGCGGTTCCGCCTCGGGGTCTGGTGCTGACCCCCTGGTAACGCGAGGAACTAGCTGCTCGCCTGCATTTCGTGGGGGAAGAGCCGGCCTCTTGTTGCCGGATATATCCCTTAAAAATTCGAGTATCGCTGCGGTGGTTTCAACCGTGGGATACTCCGTATATGCTTCCAGGGCAGCATGAAGAGAGGTAGCAATAAACCGACTTGGATATTTGGTTTTTATCCTGGAGTGCAGAGTGGCGAGCATGGAGACGAGGCTGTTGAACTGCAAAATATGCAGTGGAATCCGTTTCTCCGCGGCATGCAGGGATGTTGCCGGGCTGCCCTGCGGTACACCTTGTTCCTCGTGATCGCTGATTCCTTCATCATCCGAAGGGTGCAGCGTCATCAGGGCGTCTGAAACGCGGAGGATGACTTCTCGTGGATTTCCCAATCTAGAAATATCCTGGAGGCATTCTTCTGATGCCGGTAGCAATGGAAGTAACAATTGCACGAGGTCCCAGCCAATGTTTGTTGTCAGCGTTTCATCCTGAAGGAGGCGATGAAGCGTGGGGAGGCGGGCGGGAGTCAGCTGGTATTCAAGAATTGTGAGATAGCTAAGGTAGTCAGTGGCAGGAGGTAAAGCCTTGACAAGAGGGTCTTCGAGGTCCTCCATTGCCACGTTCTTTTGCGGGAACTATGCACGTTCTCCGTCGTAACTTGGCAAAAATGCCTGTCTGTCTGTTAATTCCCCGCAGTTGGTAGGGATGCAGTCTCCCTGGAACCAGTTGAACTGCTTGGACAAGCAAGACCAATTTCGCAGCAACTCTGCGCAGTTAACTATGTTATTCCTGGATTTGAACCTGTAGTGGTTATCTTTATCCTCGTCACGGTTCGCCACGCAAATCGTCGAGGTGGTCCGGATTTGACGCGTCGTTTTGCGATGGGGGAGTGTTGATCTCCCGAAGGCTGTTGATGTGTAAGGTAGTTCACCACTAAGCGAGCCACACCACTAAACGAGCCAAATCTTCCACCACCAAAATTCCTCCAACATTCAACATTCAATATGCAACAACATGGTCAACAACACCTCAATTAGGCTTGCAATTGAAGATCTTGAATCACAAGAGACCCCAAATTACACTGCAACCACAAGAAAGTACTCAGTTAACTGAGAGATCCTGCACTAACAGTATAAAGACTTGCAACTTGCTTAGGATGAAGCAGCCTCCTGATATAAGAAAAAGCTCTCTGATATACAGGAGACAGAGCTTCTGAATTATATAAACAAGCTCTCTAGCTGTGGCCTTGCCATTACACCTCAGATCCTACAAAATATCATACAAGAGATGACAGAAGAGGATATTGGAATCAACTGAGTTAATCAATTTTGCAAGTAGTATAATGACAAGATCAAATGCATTTATCTCAAAGCAATTAATCAAAATAGGCAGATAGCAGATAACTATCAGTACTTTAAGCACTTCTATATGCTTGTAATTTGATGATTTATTTGATTACTTGCAATTGCAGTTGTTGATGCTGGCTAACTATTTGACTACTACTTATGAAATAGTTGGAGCAGAAAATTAATTAATATAATCTTGAGCCCTCAAACATCTACAACTTTAATGAAAAAGAATTTCTTCTAGACTTCTGTCATGCCTCAAAGCAATTAGTCTCTATTAAAGCCCTACAAGCTGGAAAGAATGCCACTACTCAGAATGATAGTTGGGAATTCCTCTCATTACTCTGCTCAGTCTCTGCTGAAGAAATTGCACTACCTCCAGCTCTTATTTACCAGAGCAAATTGTGAGATCTCCAGAATACATGGCTAGATGATTATGATGGAAGCAAATAGATCTACTTTGCAGCTTCAACAAATGGTTGGAGCAATAATGAATATGAACTGGAGTGGTTGAAACAGATTTTCAATCAGCATACTAAGAAACAAGCTGGTCAAGAAAGACATCTGCTTCTACTAGATGGCCATTCCTCCCATATAAATATGAAATTTATCAAATACACTGACTGTAAAAAGATTCTTCTTATGATTCTTCTGCTGCATTCAACCCACTATTTGTAATCTCTTGATGTTAGAATCTTTGGGCTGCTGGGCAAGACATATTTCAATGAGCTGGAAGCACTACTACATCAAGAAATGAGCTATATTCAAATGACAAAAAGAGATTTCTGGAGATTATTCAATGTGGCTTGAAAGAAGACTTTAACAGTTAAGAATATACTTACTGGCTTTGCAAAGACTGAGATTAACTCTCTGAATTCTCAATATCAACTACACCAATTTGAAACTGCTCAAGCCTCTACACTGCCAGTTAAACCTCCTATTTCTAGCAATATGCACCAGCTCCAACAAGAGATCAAGAATATACATCTCTGGCACAGCCTAAATTTGCAGAGTATTAGATAGGTTATTCAAGCTAGTAAGCAGTTTGCTCTTCATAATGAACTGCTGGAACATAAGAATCAGCAGCTAAGATTAACTCTAGTGATGGAGAAGCAACACCACAAGCAAGACAAGCCTCTAGGCCTACTCAATAGAAATAATTCTAGTCAAGCACAGTTCTGGTCTTCAACAAAAGTTCTTAAGACATGTGAGTGCCTGGATGAAATAGAGACTGAAAAAGCTGATAAAATTGCTTAAATACAAGAGACAAAACTTCAACAAGAGCTTTAAAAGAAGCAGACTGCTAGAGATATTGAAAAAAGACAGATTGAACAGAAGAATACCTGTAAAAAGATCCAGAAGCAACAAGAGATCAAAAAAATCAAACATGCTAGATAAAGAGAGGCACAACATGTTGCTTATAAGAAGAAGAAGGCTTTACAACTAGCAGAGAAGGAAAAACAGACAGTTGAACATGCTAATAAATGCCAGCAGTCAGAGCTTCAAGCACCAGCTTCAAAGTGCTGTTGGAAGGACTCCCCTACTAAAGAGCCTTATTGTGGAGAGTCTATACAACCTTCCAAAAGAGAAAGTAAGAGCTCTACAAGCATCTCTAGCAAGACATTAGACTCTCTAGCCAAGAAATCTACTGTTGACATTCCTTTGAATTCTTTCCTATCTACCCCCCAAATCTCTCACTCTGGCTGTAATATTAGGCTATCCACCCATTTATTTTCCTAACTATACTAATTTCTATGCTTTAAAGAATACATTTATTTAATATTTAATAGCTATTTAATAATAAAGATCTGGTTGTTGAGATATTTAATAAATTCATTGCGTGGAGCATTTGGCGAAATTTGGCTTGTTTAGTGGTGTGGCTTGTTTAGTGGTGAACTACCTTAAGTAAGCACGGGCCGGTTTTCCTCCCGGGGAAAAAGAAAGTGAACTGCAGTTCACCCGTTCAACACGTCCTCCGAGCCTCCTCCGTGCAGCGACCTCACGACTGTCCAGACTGCAACAGCAGGGATTGTGTGCATCGTCACAGTAACCACTGAGTCACAGAAGTTATTTTATTGACACTGGATAACTGATATGTACTTTTCGCTCCGCATTCCAGACAAAGGCCTTCACCACCACTTCTTGGACAGTTTTATACTCTGTACGCTGTATGAAATCTGTATAACTTCCCCAAACAACAACCTTGGTGCCGGGACACTCTCGGAATATGTCCCCTCTTCCGTGTTCCCGGCGCGATTTGAAGTCCAGCCGACATTTGCGTCTATAACCACGGAGTAGTCACTGTCGATCAAAATTTATGGGACCTTGGCCCACTCCGCCGTCGGTAACATGTACTCCCGTATACGGAGTACGGAAAACGGAAGACGGAGTCCAAGGAACGGTCTGGCACGCGTTGGCAACTTGTCATCTCCCTTCTGAGGAATCGGATATGCAAAGGCAGGTTACATATTAGCCATGAAGCTTGCCATGGCTTATTTAGCACGAAGGTCAACGGGAGATTGGAGGGAAAAACATGAATGGTGGCTTCTTGCTCTGAAGAACATCTGGATCGACCCTGGTTCCAGGAATTACGGCAAGCTGCCCGTCCAGAATGCTGCACCGGCTGCTCTGGGCTCCACAAAGGAAAAAGCAGCGTTCGATACGCAGATGGTGACGCTGTACCGTAACATAGGTACACTCTTCGTACCCGGTACTCCGTGTTTGTGCATTTTCTAGACCTAGAACACGGATTCTTCATGGTTGGATATGAATGTCAAAAAATAAGGGAAAAAAAGGGGAAAAAAAAAAAATTCTCAATTCAACAAGCATTGACGGCTCCGACGAAAGGTGAGCGGAGCACCTTATTTCAACTATGGATGTTTCCTTGCTTCCTGTCGTTCGTCCTCACCCGGCGAAGAAGTACCTTATATTGACGTTCTTGGCTTCATGCGTCACCCTCGTCGCCGTCACGTACTGTAACAGCACAACGAGCCGCCACAGACTCACAAAACCACCAATGGCACGTTGCGGCGGCGCTTGGCAGCCAGCCCTGTGGCATTGTCGATGATGCAAAAACAGACACTTCCATTGAAAGGAGTCTCTTTTGGTTAATTTTGCAAAATTAAGCCTCCACCGAAAGCCATCCAAAGCAAAAAATTAAAGAATTAAAAAGAAAGATAAAAAAGAAGGAAAAGACAAGGATGGTAATCTCAAATCGAAGCGAGTGCCTGATCGAGATACCCACTGCCCCCATGTGTAGACCCTGGCGACTTTCGCGATCTATCTCCGAAGCTTTGTGATGATGTCCAAAACACTTAGAATTGGCCAATCAGCGCCGGCCAGCATGCTTAGATATCACCCGGGAGATCCGGATGCTGGGCTGAACCGTCTCACCAAGCTCCATCTAAGGGCGGCCTTTTCTTGTGCAGCTCTGCTTCTCCCCGAATGGCCTCAAAAAAGTCCTTCTGCGGGAAAGAAATGTCTCCATGCCAGACCCCGGGTCGAATGAGCTCTGCCACATCACCCGTACCCATGGTTAATTAATTCTAGTCTACTGTAGTATCGAAATACCCGAGATCCAGCGTTGATAACCTTTGCACTTTGCATCCATATTCTCTTTTTTCCTTCTTTTTTTTTTTTTTTTTCTATTTATAAAAGAAACTTTTTTTTCCTTTTCTTCATCGGATATCCCATCTATAGTTGTTATTTCTTTAAACATCTCTGCATTCTCAACCAGCGTCCCCCCTGCACTGCTCGTTGGTCTTTAGACATTCAAGTAATACTAATCCTAATCTGACAGCCCCCCCAAGAACCCTCTCTGGGGTTTACCTATCTCCGGTCAATTCCGCCGCGCGGCAAGTCCCATCAGGTCGTTGCTCCTCCAGAATTCAAAAGGGCCATTTTGACGTCAACCTCGTTGCTGTCGAGCGTGTCGATTTCAACACCAGGGGTGCGCATCGTCAATCCCTGGGGACCCCACCACCCGTTCCGCCTGTTTCCTATAGACCACTCTATAGGCGACTCGTCCTCTCTTGTGTCGTTTCGCAATCGACCTGACGGGTAGCTTTCCTCGTACAAAAGTCCACGGCAAGGTTCCCGCACGCGTCGCACTTGGCGAGCATAGACAGGCCTCATTGCACCTTCTGCTATAGAGAACACCGCGTACAGACCCCTCCCTCCAGGCCGCGCCCAACATGGCAACGGAAGTGCAATCGCTGTGTGTTTCCACCACCTCCACCCATGTCAAGCCTCAACCTCCAGCCTTTGTCGATGACCTCTTCACGCACTATTCGTCGATGGCTGCTGCAAAGGTATCCCCTTCGCCTTCCGGACACACTGTAGGAGCCGCTGCCGCCACCTACCCCCGCCCTAATCTCCTAAAACGGGGAGTCGACCGGCTTCGTCTAGAATATTACCGCTATGAGGTCACCCTCGGCGTCTATGTCATGACGCCCGGCGAGAAACTCATCTTCAACTCCTTCATCCTGGTCGTCCTATCGCTCATGGTCTGGGCTCTCTTCCTGTACTTTCCTTCGTTGCTATATCAGAAGCTCAGCCGACTGGACTGGCTCCTGACTGGCCGAGATGGACCCAGTCCTAATGTCACATTCTCGTTGTCGAATGGGAACGACATGTTGGTTTCCTCTTTCCAGATACCGCCGTTCCGCTCATAAATACCAGGGAGCCAAGCGAGGGGCTTTGGGGGAGAATGACGACGACGACAACGAATGGGTTTAGGTGTTGTATGCGTTCTTTTGGAGTTTCAAAAATGGCCTGAAAAAGAAGGAGATACCCCTCTAATGGTAGGTCTGTTGCTGGCCATTCTCGTTGCTTTTTCGTCTGTAGTTCCTTTTTTTTTAAAAAAAAAAAAAACATACTTTATTCAAGCATTGGTCTCCAAATGTTGGACATTAATGCTAACACAGCTCTCTCCAATGTCAATAGATGTTTTAGGTGTCCTTGTTTATATTGGGAATTGGACACGCCCGCGGGGGGGGCGGGATTTTTGGATTGTCAGCCTCATCGTTCTAAACCCAATCTGGATTCTGTCACGGTGTGATAATGCTCGATTGAAGCAGGCGAAGTCTTGGGATGGGTTCGCTCGGCGAAGTAATGAACTGGAATCACGATTAATGTCTTAATGAAGGTGGAGTGAAATAAAAAAAAGAAAAACGAGAGAATTTTGATCAGGATCATACCATGATCCAACTGTGGACCACACAATGGCTTGCGCATGACGATTCTCCGGCAATCGTCTGGCAACAGGATTTTTCGAACCACCTTCCATGCGGCCACTGAAAAGTTGTCAAATCGGTTCCGTCGTGCCAGCGCAAACATCATGGATTCTCTAGTGGCATTTCTGAGGAAAAAAAGAACGACGTCCCCTTGTTTTTTCCTATTTTTATTTTTATTTTTATTTTTATTTTTATTTTTATTTTTATTTTTTGATTCTGGAAATGTAGATATCACCCGCGTACAAACAACATCGATCCTAGAATGTGGCTTTTTGACCCTCGTGCTTTCGGACGGACAGTCCTTATTCCCTTTTCTGATGCAAGTCGTCGTCGCGCATGTGCTCTGTGCTCGTCCTGTGAGCGGAGAGAACTCAGGGGGGTAAGAGAGGGCAAGCATCCACCGTTCAACGCCAAGCAGGCGATCGCAGACCGGCATGGATGCTGCGCCGTGCTTGTCCGCCGACGCTCCGTCAAAATGGATGTGTTCCCAGGCCAGCTGAAGGGGCTGAAAAGAAGCTTCGGCACAAACCTTAATATGGCCAATCACCGCCATTGCTGCGCCACAATTCAGCTGCGTTCAGCCACAGAGCCCGTCGCCCCTCCGTTCGGAGTCCCTTCCAATGCGCCCATTGCACACGTATTGAGCTAGCTTTCTCATGTGTAAAAACAGATCAATTCACCTTTAGAAGCTAGGAAGATTCTTCTTTTGCAAGTTATTTTATTCTTTTTTTTTTTTTTTTTGGAACACATTTAGAATGACATTGAGGGATATTCGTTGCTTGGTTTGAACCCCTCTTCGCTCAGAATCAGCTCGTGTTTTGCTCCCCGCACATCCCCCTTGTTCGACAACAATCCGTCTTATTTCTTCCCCCCCCCCCTTTTCAGCTGAGCGTATCGTTGACCTGATCGATTGAACATCCATATCATATTTTCTTTTTCTTTTGAAGCAATAATCATGGCGGGCAACGAAGACCATATGGCCTATGGAGACTATCCGGGCCAGAAATCAAGCAGCACTCGAGGTCTGCTCGGGGATACATTCAACAAGTTTCGCGATAAGTACAATGCTCACACGCAAGGACAACAGCAGCAGCATCAACAGCAGCAGCAGTCTCATTACAATACCCCGGGAGGATATCCTGTACGACAACTTGTGTTCTTGCTCTCCTTCTTTTTTTTTTTTTTTTTTTTTTGTTTTTGTTTGTTCTGATTGCAGAAACAATATGTCCTGATCATAAAGTTTAGAGCCATCCTCCTCCCCAGGGTTACGGCCAACCTTCTTCCCAAGGGCCACCACCACCACATCAGCAGCCAGGGGGGTATGCCCCGACCCAATCACCGAATCCTCAATCCTCTCAAGGCGCGAAGCCGCCAAAATCCGATCTCGTCTCCGGGCTTCTCGGCAAGGTTCAAGGTATCGGGTCCGATCTGGCACAGAAGCTCGGCTCGAGTATTGACCCCCAGGCGTACGCTACATACGGGACGGGTACACAGGCCGGTGAAAAGGCCCGATATGGCAGCTTTGCACCGGAGCGGGACCACAATGACGCAAAGTGGTACGTTGACGGGTGCACGTACATGTGGGCAGTTTCGAGGGCTTTGGAGACGGCGAAAGAGTCGATCTGGATTTTGGACTGTGAGTTTTCCTCCGATGTTTAAGAGCTTTTTGTTGCTTTGGTTGTTGGGGGGGGGGGGGGGGGGGGAAGAGGGAGGTGATATTTTGTTTATTGACTGACCAACGAAATAGGGTGGCTGTCTCCTGAGCTGTACCTAAGACGCCCACCTTCAAAGAACGAGCAGTATCGTGTGGACCGCATGCTTCAGGCTGCTGCTCAGAGGGGTGTAAAAGTCAACGTTATTGTGTATAAGGAGGTGACGCAGGCTCTTTCGTGTAAGTGCATAAGTACCAGCGGTGGAGTAAAAAGTTGGCTAATTCGACGACCAATCTAGTGTCATCATCCCACACAAAACACCATCTAGAGGACTTGCATCCCAACATCGCGGTGTTCCGGCACCCAGACCACCTCCCCGATAGGCAGACTCTTCACAGCGGAGTGATATCTTCTCTCCAGAATTTAACCCTTAACCCAGCCGGAATCGCAAAGCTCTCCGGCGACGCCTTGAAAGGAATCTATGGAATGAGCGATAACGTCATTCTTTACTGGGCCCACCACGAAAAGCTTTGCATTGTCGACGGCAAAGTGGCATTTATGGGAGGCTTGGATCTCTGCTTCGGTCGCTGGGACACATATCATCATTCAATCTCCGACGTCCACCCCAACGACATCAAAGAGACCGTGTTCCCCGGCCAAGATTATAACAACGCCCGTATTCTAGACTTTCAGGATGTTGTTCATTGGGAGAAGAACGAGCTAGACAGAAAGACGAGCCCGCGGATGGGCTGGTCTGACGTTGCTGTCAGCTTGCACGGGCCGGTCGTCGAAGACTTGCGAAAGCATTTCGTGGACCGCTGGAATTTTATTTATGATGAAAAGTATGCTGTCCGAAAGGATACCAGATACTCGAAACTGGTACTTTACAAGCGTCCTCTATCCTCGACCGGTCCCCAGCAGCATCAGGGTCATCACCAAGGGGGCCAGCAGCAGCAGCAGCAGCAGCAACAACAACAACAACAACAATTTCAGAGTCAGCCTATTCCTCCAAGCTATGGTCAGGGACAAAGCCAGCCTCACACTGGCACTGGCGCCCAGCCCTACCAACAGCCGGGACAACAGTACCCGCCTCCACCACCTGGTGGTCCACCCCCGCAGCAAACGCAATCCAGCGGCGGCTACCAGCCGCAGTGGAGCGCGTCGCAGACTCCCTCACACTCTGGTCCAACCCAGACTTCAGGTGCGACCCAGGCCCCTTACTTCCCCCCTCCACCGGGCCAAGGGCCATCGCACTCCCAGACTCGGGGCATTTTCGACGGCTCAAGCTCCCAAGAGGAAGGTAGCCGTGGTTTCAGCAGCTTGCGGACCGATGTTACAAACTTTGGAAACGTCCTCCGCACCCAGTTGGCGGGCCAAGTTCATCGTTACCAGGATCGTTATTTCAGCGGACAGCCAGGCCAAGGCCAGTCCGGAGTGCGTATGGGATGCCAGATCGTCCGCAGCTGCTCCAAGTGGAGCCATGGCACCCAACAAACCGAGACCTCGATCGCAGAGGCCTATTGTACCATCATCCGAGAGAGTGAGCACTTTGTCTACATCGAGAATCAGTTCTTCATCACGGCGACCGGTGACTCGCAGGCCCCCGTCAAGAACAAGATCGGCGCAGCCATTGTCGAACGTATCCTGCGTGCAGCAAGGGCGAAGCAGAAGTATCATATCGTTGTCGTGATCCCCGCCGTCCCCGGCTTCCCTGGTGATCTTCGTGACGAGGGCAGCCTGGGCACTCGGGCAATTATGGAGTTCCAGTACGACTCGATCAACCGCGGTGGCAACAGCATCATGGAGATGATCGCCAAAGAGGGCGTCAACCCCATGGAGTACATCCGCTTCTACAACTTGAGGAATTACGATCGCATCAACGCGAGTGGCGTGATGCGGACTGCTGAGAAACAGAGCGGGGTTAGCTACGAAACTGCTCGACACCAGTATGACGCTGGCGTGACTGGGTCGAAGCCGGCATTTGACACCACATCAGCGTATGGCCAGTACCAGCAAGCCGCTCAGCAGGTGACGCATGGCAGCTCCGCGTCTGGGCGATGGAACAGTGTTGCTTCGTGTTATATGTTAGGAGGAGAGGATATCCGGAACGTGCCTTGGGAACATAACGATGCCTTGGCAGAGATTGATGCATTTGTTTCGGAGGAGCTCTACGTCCACTCCAAGGTGAGTAGTCCAACGTTCACTCCGTGGTATGTGGCAGCAGTGCTAACCCTGTTGTAGGTGTTGATTGCGGATGACCGAACGGTGATCTGTGGAAGTGCAAACATCAACGATCGTTCCCAGCTGGGCTCGCACGACTCTGAGATTGCTGTGATCATTCAGGACCCATCCCCGATAGAGTCGTCGATGAACGGCCAGCCGTACCTGGTGAGCCGATTTGCCTCAACACTTCGACGACAGCTGTGCCGGAAGCACCTCGGCCTCATTCCTGCACAAGATTATCAGCGTCCTGATGCCAACTTCGAGCCGGTGGGAGTTCCAAACCAGTATGACCTCGGTTCTCCCGAAGACCGCGTGGTCGCAGACCCCCTATCGGACACGTTCCAGAGCCTGTGGAACTCTCGGGCCAGACAGAACACGGAGGTGTACCGAAAAGTGTTCCACGCGGTGCCCGACGACACCGTGCGCAACTGGAACGACTATAAGGAGTTCTACGAGTACTACTTCCGCAAGGAAGAGGTCAAGAAGCAGAAGGAAGGGCAGCCAGAATGTCAGGGAGGGCCCCCTGCTCCAGGAGAGGGGCTCACCCCTGCACCTCCCGTCAAATACGAGTGTGGCCACGTTATTAGGGATGAATTCCCCGAGGGGGTGCGGGCGGTTAAGGAGGAGCTGAGCAAGGTGAAGGGGACGTTGGTGGAGATGCCGCTGATGTTTTTGATTGAAGAGGACATTGCGAAGGAGGGGATTGGGCTCAACAAGCTCACGGAGGAGATCTACACATGAGTAGTTTGCGGCTCATGAGTGGCTGTCTCCATCTCTCGGTTAGAAGTTTTGAGTTTCCTTTTTTGGTGCCAATGCCCACCGTTGATGCTTTGGGATGCTGCTGAGTCTTCTTTGGCCGAACACTAGCTATACAACCGGTCTCCGTGGCTGTGGGACGCTGATTGTGTGTTACAGAGCTGCTTTGACCTTGGATGTGCATGGCCTTGTTATTTGATGTGCATGGCCTTGTTATTTGATGTCCATATACTTTTTTCCTTTTTTTTTTTTTTTGGGTTTCTTTATTTGTGCACAGATCTGACTTGTCGTATCTCTGGACGAATGCAGAAGCAGCATTTGTAAAGAAGAATAATTATAAAAAAAAAAACATATTCTTTGGGTTGATATTGTTCTCAGAGGTCTTGGATATTCACTGACCGGGGACCAAGATTGTACATTCCTGTGGCCCGGCCAAACCTGCTGAAAGCGAGCCACTGGGACAGCCAGGATTTAATCGCTCAGCCATGTCGGTCTCAGCGAGCCAGCCAGATCCCAGCCGCAGTTCGTCCTTTCGCCTTCTTTGGCCTTCGCTTCGGCCTTGATCGCTGCTTGCCCACCAAAAAGGCGTGCAAATCCCGGCTTACTATTGTCCTGCAGAGAACAATAGCAAGGAGAAGCACGTGACCTGATGTTGGCGAAGACGCGCTCTGATTGGCGGGCGGAACAGGCGTTGGCGGTGGATCCCTGCACGTGTCATTACCGCATCGGGTATAGCGTGGCCTCGGCGGTTGGACTTCTTTTTTTGTTTTTTTTTTTTTTTTGCCCGACTTCACCGCGTCGTCCATCGCCGGCCGAGAGTGGAAAATGAGAGAAAGTCAATCGACACCTCACCTCACCTCACCGCAGTTCAGCTCTAACTCAGTCCATGTCAACTCCCTGCCGCTGCTACTGCTGCTGCTGCTGCTCAACTCAGGCTGCATTGGTCCCGGGAAGCTGGGATGTGCGCTGATTGGCGTCTACGATGCGCCTTCACTGGCGTCTTGACATGGAGCCCCCAACGTCATCGTCCGGGAATCCTCACCTCGGAGCTGGGAAACAAAGGTCTCTCTCTTCCTTGTTTTACGTTCCTTTGCGTTGTGCGTGTTGGAAGTCTGAGCTTCTCCTGACCATCGCCTCCCCTGGGATCCTCACAGCCCATCCGTTCCCAATCAGATCCATGAAACTGCCCCCGCCCGTCGTTCCTGGCTCGAAGAATGGCGTGGCTGCCGGCCCTTGATTCCCACTCTTGCTATTTTGCCTCTAACCCACCCCTATCCCCCGGGGCGAATGAGGATGGAAAGCCGGCGCTCAGTGATACCCAGTCTATGCTGCCGAATTCAGGGATCTTGACTCGAATCACCCAAGTGGAGGGAGGGTGTCTAAATGATTACATTCCCTCCCCCCCCCCCCCCCCCCCACTTGCTGTGTTGCCGCTGTGTTTTCTTTCCCGTATTCGCCTTCGTCATCATGAATGGGGACAGATAGCCAAGCACTGCGGCCTATGGAGAAAGAGAGCACATCCTTTCCTTGCGACAAGACATCTGATTAGAACAAAGGATGGCTGCTTTTCGGGCCTAGATTCTTGGTTGCCTCTGGATACACTCGCTGCCCTAACGTAGTCATTAAGCCGCATACCGAGGCGCATGGATATGAGTGAAAGCCCCCCCTCCAGCCTGTGCAGGATCAGCTGTTCATCATGCTGTCCCCATTCCATGGTGAGCCCCATCGATCGTTTGTCTCTCGGAACTGCTCGGATTGTGTAGTTTGCAATCCTCATTCGTCAACAGGGATATACTATTTTCTTTTTTTCCTTCCCTTTTTGGTGCTGGATCAGGATTGGGCGGAGGGTCTCTCCCAATCTGCAAGGCATGGAATTCTTGTTTTCAGAGTGTGGAGGAGCACATGATGCTTTGCTAAAAAAAAAAAAAAAAAAAAAAAAAAAAATGCAGTATCCACTATTTTATGCGTCCCCTACTACAGAGCAGAGACATGCTTAACCGCCCAGGCTTTTCAATCTTGGGCACCATCCAGCTGTGTTGCTTGACCCAGCTGGGCGATACGAGAGGGCCCCGGCAATTTCCATGCCATATGTTCACTGGAAGCATCTTCATCAGAACAATACCAAGAACCCTAAATGGAGTTCTGCACTGTCCATGTATGAGTATTTAAATGTCTCATGACCACGCTTCACTGTGATTGATCATCCGCTTTTGTTCATCATATTGTTCTGCCTCTCCTTTCATCATTAACTTTCCTTTCCGCTTGCATATCTTTCTTTCTGCAATAAAGGATTGTCTGGAACGATGCCTTAAGCAGCTTCTAATTATCTTTTACTTTATACTATTTTGCGCCTCTCTTGCCTCTACTAGCTTTTTACACTCCTTGTGTGAAGAATTTGCCTCACTTACCCGTGCCACGAAATCGCTCATACTGCAGTATCCACGTTTCCGCTTGAAGAATATCCTCTGCATACGCATTCCCTCATCCGGAGAACTGAGGAGAAGACTGATCAATTATAAATACCGTGTCGTGATCCTTCATGAATGGCCTTTGCTCTCCATCATCAAGATCGACAAGTCTACGTTGATAACCACGAAAGCTATACTTCTTCAACTCCTTTCAGAGACTTCAATCCTTTTTCCCAATATCAAAATGGAGAACTACGTCGCCCCCAAGGCTCCAGAGACCACCGGTTCGTGCTCCTCCCTTTCGTTACGTTCTTTAACATCTTCCCTCCTCAATACCCCCTCAAGCGGGTGCTGCTCCGTTTGCTCGACCTCGAAAGCTAACAGGTAATAGGCCCCATGTTCGCTCGCGGCTCCGGAGGCCAGTGCATTGTTATGTAGATTCGTTCCACACCGGACACTTTCAGCCCAGGGGTTGGGGACGATGAAGAAGGAGGAGGATTATTGGCCACACCGGGCCATGTTTGATTGTCTTCGTTGAAGTGGTTTCGATTTTCCGGCACGATATATACGAATCTTTTTGTCAACCGAGCCTTTGAATTCGAATATATCTATCAACACCGATCTTGGCCTTTTTGACAAAGGCCCCTGGTCGGACTCCGGAATTTAGCAACCACTTTACCACCCCCCGACAACGCGAAGCATTCGACAACCACTGATGTCCCCACTGTCCGCTCTTTTCTTCCTTGTTCCTCAACGTTCGGCGCTGCTGTGTCAGCGACCAACGGGCTTTGCTCGTTGTGCTCGTTCTATTTCCCGCTCTGCCTTTTTGTACTGTACTGGTTCCGGAAGTACGACAGTCCCCTCACATGCTGGATAATATCGGGTTTCTTTGAATCCCGTCGAAGGGGATATATCACGCTCATCACTCTTTCCTTTCGGTGGGGATATGGTATACTTGGGTTTGGATCTAGTCTCTCTTTTTTATTAATCTTTCACAGCGGGTGTGTTTTTGGGGGGCCCCCCAAAGGAGCTTGGAAAGATTATTTTTTGTGGATATATCATATGAATATAGGATTTGTATTTACGAGGAGCGATCCTCTAGCATTCCTTTTTTTTTTTTTCTTTTAAGATTCTATTGTCCCTAGTGAATACATATCTCTGTGCACATACGAAACTGTTGGTATTACCCTTTTGTTTTTTCATTTTCTTATTTCCTCCCCCTAATTGTTCGTGCCTCGTAGAAATTAAGTACGGAGTACTTGTAAATAGTGTTGTGGAGGATTTATAGACGTGATTTCAAGGGGGTGTTTCCTCAGCCTCGTCGTATGCATTCACTCCTTTAAGTCCTTGGAATTCGTATCACTCCATAAAGTACGCCGTATGTATGTAAATATGCACTTTGTATGCATGCATGCATGATGCATGTATCTTTTCCTGCGGATGCCTGCGATAGCTAAAGCTTGAGATGCTACAGACGTGTGTGTATGTAATCCAACAAAATCAAATTGCGGCTCAGGATGCAGTTGACCAGACCGTCCGCGGCTCTCGAACCCCGCAAGGCATCGCTACTCACAGAGCCAGTCGAAAGACTACCATGCAACGCCGCTAGGCTTCGCATCAGGTAGGGGTACGTTACAGTTTGCCCACTCTTCATCGCTGCTCGATCGCTAAACATGCTCAATGAAGGTTTATGAATAACCTGATCATCTGTTTGTACTGCGGGAAACCAGGCCCCTCGCCGGCCAAACGCCTGGCCGCGTCCGGATCTGTCAAGCCGGGCCCGGGCATTCCCAGGTGTTCAGGTATGCCATGAAAGAGGACTGTGCCACAACTTCCAGAGACGCAGCTATTCACACAGTTCGAAATCAACCACGGCGAGGATCTCAAAGCTCTCGTTCACTAGGGGATGCTGTACGGTCTGAAAGTTCGCAGTTAGCCAGGTAAAACGACCCATCTGGACCCGGGATCGGCTTATCGGGAGGAACATAGAGCGTAGCTGCAGAGAGTTGGGTTGATGAATGGATCTTTCTCCGCGAGGTACGACTTTCCGTCAGGGCGGCGACCTCCATGCAGTGGTACGCATAGTCCCAGTAAATAAGTTATGTTGTCGAACTCCATGGCCCCTTGCCAGTTTCGTGGACGGGCCCGATATAAAGCTCTCCCGTTTTCTCGTCAAAGCGCAGGTTCTCAATATTGATAAACTAGAATGCAGATGGCTCTTCTTTGCCATTTTCCTAGAGGCTCCATTGTCTGTGAATGGCGCCAGAGTTCTATCGGATTTTCTGGAGGAGTTTGAGGTCTGAGTGGTTAAGTGAGTGGTCTTGTGTGGTTATGCAAATGCTTTTCGCAACATACACAGGGACCAAGCTTGACAATAAGGCTAAGGTGCTCAACTTTGACTGCTGTGAGCCGAGGCGTGGTGCGGCAATTCAGTAAACGAACAATGGCCTCTGCCGGAGTTGGAAGGCATTTGTGGCCTGGAGCGTTCGTAAAAGAGGAGGATTCAAGGAAGTCCATTTCGGCTTTTGTCGCATCAGCGATCCCATGATGCTTCAAGTTCAAAGCTCCCGTGGCATTCTAAGAGGAGGTCGTGCCAGGTTGCTTGGGTGGGAGAAGGCTGGATTCAATGAGTGATAGAAAAGACAAGAGCCGGTAAAATTTGGGCATTCAGTGGTTGCAAAACTTCCTAGCAAGCCAGGCAAATCATCTGGCGCACCGTGCTGAAACCTTGTTAACTACAGTCTGGTGGTACTGATTGTTGAGAATCTCCCCAAGACGAAGACCGCTAGACGAGTCAGTATGGTCAAAAAATATGTAACGCCCCTGTTCGGTGAGCACCAATCTGTCAGGACCTGAGTGCAATAGTTTAGGTAAAAGGCCTTTGTTGTTGTTGAGATTCATTGGCTTGCGACCCGAGCCGTCGCCTAGCCGAGAGAACTCACGAGTGAACCCGTGCGCCGCATAGGGCCGGCATGAAACAAGGATCCCGATCGGTGGACAGGGGTCCTTGGCCCTGGATTGGGTTGCTGAACGGTAGTCAATCCTTCACCAACTCCATCACAGCCCCCCAGTTAAGCGGTAGCCTGCGCAAAGCTGATATCCGCGTCAGTGGGATTTGAAAGTCGATCTGCCCGATAAAATACGTATGACAGGCGGCAAAGTAGCCGTTGAAGTATTCATCGAGGGCTGGCTCGCGAGTTTGGTACCGGCAAATTTCAAGGATTCGAACACGAACAATTTTCCCCGTGACTCATGAGGTGATGGTCACTTCGGAGGGGAGCTGGATCTTGATCGATTTACGGAGTACTCTCGCATCATAGTTTTGTTACATGCTCATATATCCGCTCTTCTGACGGAATCCAGCGATGTCCAGCGTGCCGAAAGCCCGCCGGTCTAACGTGAGCGGTCTTACGGTCACTCCAGATAAATGGGACTACTATCCCTCCATTGAACGCTCGGACGTCAAGTCCTGCTCCTTTACCAATCTCTCTTCATCCACGCACATCCGCCACTCCAAACTCAACGACGTACACGTCCTCTCCGAAAATGGCAGAGGCAGTTACATCGAACGCTGCGATCTATCCCGCTGCACTATTTCGGATAGCTACATCGAACGCTCTCGGCTTCGAGATAGCCGCGCGTCGCATGTAGGGCGCATGGACCGCTCGACGGCTTCGAGATCCGAGTTCGTGGGCGCGCAGACCGTTGAGCGTTCTTCTTTTCAAGACTCCCGAGTGGGTGGTCAAACCGCCGTGTCGAGGAGTGAAGTAAAGAAGTGCAGTCTGGGGGGAGGCAGTCGTGTACAGGACAGTGTTCTGGATAGGGTGTCTTTGTGGGACAGTACGGCCGACAGGGTCGTGCTTAAGAACTGCGACGTGAAGGACTGTAAGATGTCCAAGACCAACCTTTCTGGAATGGTACTCAGATACGGGATTTGGAATAATGGCGACCTGGTTGGAAGGACGAGCAGAGAGCACGAAGTGATTGCTACATCTCTGGAGGAATGGAATGCTCGGGAAGAGCGTGATGCAGAGGCCGGGGAGCAAGAAGGACAATTCAATTCAGGCGATCCTCCTCACCAAGCTGTGGTAAGCCAATATTTCATACTGGCGGGATTGACGCGAATATCACTGATGACGCCTCAAGGCAACTGCGCCAACCACTTCGGCTCCTGTGTCGGAGTCTAGAACCCCTTTGACGCTACATATCGAGACGCAGAAGGAAATTGCGCCGCCGTCGTACACGTCACTCCATGCCCAGGAAGACGCTGATGTTCGGATGCGAAGCGAAAGGGAGTTTACTCCACCAACGCCGACTTCCGATGGCTTTTCCGACATAACAGAACTCGTCGACAATGATAATACCGAATATAAAAATGATGCTCGGGTTTCAGAAAAGGATGGTCCTCCGCCACCGTATGAACCGTGATGCATTGATATTGTACCTTTTTTTTGGACAGCCATGGATACCCTCCTGTTCAATAAATTAACGACGCTCTGATGACGATGACAGCCCTGCTTTTCACGATTTGCAACATTGTATATTCTCCCTCGAATATCTTGATGTAGTTATAGCATGCAAAAAAGAAAAAAAGGACCCATCCCCACTCCTTAAGTTAACCGCTGGCATCTTCGAAGAGGCACGCATTTCAATTTTCCCCGTTTTCCATCGAACCTCGAACGCCTTGTGCAGTTCTTCTTACGGTCGTAAGATCCTTGAACAAGTCTCTCCCTGCCCGTCGGGCCGACAATCCGCACGGTCCATTACCTGTCGACATGCCCGCTGCCCGTGAAGCGACATCACGGAGTCGACCAGCGCAGCAAAAACTTCTACAAGGGAGAGAAGTTGCCAACCCTGCTCTTCTCGTCTACCGTAGCCACCTCCCTTGCGTTATTGGTCGCTATGCCTCCCAGGTATTGCTTATTAATCTGACTACACAATCACGCGCTTTCTTGGCGAACGCGAACGGGTCGCGCTGGCTTTCCGTCGCGTCGCACACTTCGACGGAGAAGACGCCGCGGAAGCCCGTCCTCAGCACCGCCCTCGCCACGTCCTCCACCGGCAGATACCCTCCCTCATACGGCAGCGGCCGGTACCCATGGCTCCATCTGGCCCGGGGTCGTATCCCTTCCACTTCCCGTCCTTCAAACCGCTGCTTAGGCCGATACGCATCTGAAATCTGGAGCAGATAGATCTTCTCCTTGGGGACCGTCTTGGATAGCTCTTCAAGTGTCTCGCTCCAGCCTTGGTCGACGTCTTCCATATGCGCTACGGTGATTTCTGTCTCTGTGCATCCTGATATACTGCATGGATTTGCCCATTCACTTCCTGCGATCTGGAACGTATCGAGGCAAAGACCGATGTTCGGTCGATCAACCTGCTGTACAATGTGCCATGCTTCTTTCCAAGTTGAAGCGTGGGTGGACCAGCATTGGTTCTCATAGGCAACTCTCATGCCGTGCTCTTGGAGAAAGTCGCACAGTTCACGGATGTCACGAATTATATCTCCGTGCTCTGTGGAAATCTTGTCTTCCGGCGCGTCTGTGGAGCCGACCTACTCAAGTCAGGTCATATTATATCCGTTGAGGGACGTAAGGCTGTTTTTGCCACTCTTACCTGCAACATGTCCGTCCCACAAGCCTGCATAATCCTCACCCAGCCTTTCACCTTCTCCCAAGTCTGCCTCCACTCCTTCGACCCTTTCTTCCACCCTTCAAAATTACTAAATGGCTGCAACATCATTATCTTCAATCCATGTGCCTCGCACAATCCCTTCACCTCTCTCGCAGCTTGGCACAATTCATCATAGTTGTCCTCCTTCACTTCATGTTTCAGAAGCTGCGATGCAAATGCTTGCAGATCTGGAAACGAGAGCTCAATCGCGGAGAATCCCGCCGACGCAATTGCTTCGAGCCGTAGGTGTAAACTATCGGTTTCAGGGCGACCGACGGAGCAGGTTGCGCATGCTAGTGGGATGCCATGGGTGGAGGCCGCAGATGAAGTCGCCATCCCGAGACTTGGTGTTCTTTTTACTAGCACTGGGAGAACCGGTGATCTGTATGCACACCTCTCTATGAGGCGGTAAGTAGTACATCCAGGGAAAACAGTGGTATGTCGTCTGGCGCAGAATCGCGTAGGAAACAACGTGATCAGTCTCTTACTCATTGATAAAAGCTGCTCATCACAGACATCATGTCAAAACACCATGTTGAAATTTACAAAGGATCTAGAGGGCACGTTGAGCTGCTGTCTGTTTCTTTTGCTGACGAACACCAAAAAGGCCCAAAATGTTGGAACGTATGTCGTCATAGGGGCCCAAGGTCCCCTGGTTGACATTTAGACTTTCCAAGCTTGACAACACGGCAACACAATGCTTTACGCTCGGTGAATAATGCCCTGAAGATAACAATAAGAATACCCTATGCGTTTAAACGGGAGAGAAGAAAATGGATAGTCAATGGGGATAAGCAGGGTGAAGCAAGAAGCAGTAGCGGAAGCTCCATTCTTGTTGAGCTTGTTCGACAACGTCGGCGATAAGACCAATGGACCTGCCCTGGTCTGTGATGACAGCGGCAATAGGGCGTCGACCATCATTCCTGTAGGGTCTGACGGTTGATAACAACGTGCCATCCCGCCAATTCAGAGATTGTGTACACTCCTTCCAGTGTTCATTATATGTTTCATTCTTACACGTCGATACATGAGGTATGTCCAAGGGTCGAAGAGGAAAGGCTACACAGGAACGAGTCGGTAACGTTCGAGTTGTCTGTGCGGTGTTCCTAAACGGGTGCCTCTTCCGACCGTAGGCTTTCTATCCCGGCATGTGCTTTTGAACCCGAATCCTACAATCCCCCTCCCGCTACGAACCGACAAATCAGTATCACAACTTCTCGTGAAGTACTTGCTTTGGGCGTTGATATTTCATACAAGTTGATTCACGGCCATATACGGAGTACCGGGTGTCCCTCTAGCGTGGTGTTTGGAACGTGGCGCTTATCGCTCTTGGCATTGATTAACTAACTACGGAGTACTCCGTACTCCGTACTCAGCAAGCCCAAAATAGCCGTTTGTGGAATTTCTCCACTGACTTCCCCTCACCATTGGCTGGCGTACCCCGCATTATGTCATCGGGCATGCTGCAGTTCCAGCGTGCGGAGTTAACACAGTACGGGGTATTGTGCCCGGTAATTTTACGAATTTAAACGGAGCTGGCCGCGATGGGTACAAGTGATGTGAGTACCCGGGTTCAGAGCTACTTCCAAGGCCGTTTCCCCCTCAATTGCCCTCAAATCCGCCCATCATCTCCATCCTGGACAAGACTGAGTGCATTCGTTCACGTTCATCCAAGCAAACGAAGCTTTTATACAAACTGCACTGTCAGAGCCAGCCATGTCGGATCTCGCGAGTCTAGATGTATGTCTATTCATCGGGTTCCGTTTGTATCTCTTATACAGCTCCATGTTAACCCCGTTGTAGACCAGCCAGCACCCTTACCTGCCCCAATCTGCCTCCCTCCTCTTTGACGCCAAAGCAAAGGCAAACCTCAGCTTCGAGCAGATTGCCCAGCACATAGGTCGCAATGAAGTAGCCACAGCAGCAATATTCTACGGGCAGGCCAAGGCGTCTAAGGAGGACATCATCAAGCTCGCTGAGCTCCTGCGCTTGCCGGCCACCGCGTTAGAAATGCAGATGGGCGGCTTTCCGGATCGAGGGCGCTCGGTGGAGATGCCTCCGCGTGAGCCCTTGATCTACAGATTGTATGAGATCGTGCAGAATTACGGATACGCCTACAAGGCGATCTTGAATGAGAAGTTTGGCGATGGTATTATGAGTGCGATCTCTTTTTCGACGAATGTGGAGAAGGAAACGGATGAGGATGGGAACAATTGGGCTATCATTACAATGAGAGGGAAATGGTAAGTATACTCTATAAAAACATTGACTTTCCTTTGACTAGAAGCGGCGTTGAGATGCTGATCGATTTTTCAGGCTTCCGTACTCTAGGTTTTGATACAATGAGATATGGTTATTTTATATGTGGCCAATCAACCATATTTACCCATATTTGGATTTTCCTTGTCTACTTCTCAATGGAATATTAAAAAACGTGGATCAAGTAACCAGCATTCTGTTTTGAGATTTATATCTTCAGTCGTTGAGAAATTTCTCACTGTCTGTTCTGCTAGTATGATATCTATGAGTGAACTAGCCATCTTGTGAATGTCGGGTTCACATTAGACCACCATACTATCTGTCCCATTTTACTCCAGAGCAGAAGCCCATGCTACCATGTGTCACCAGCTGCTACACTGGCCCTCCACTCCTTTACCCTTTTCACGCTCATGACATCTGACGACTAATCAACCCCATAACTTTCTCACCCACACTGAACTGATAACTTCATTTTTCATGAAACCTTCATCTCACTTTCACCAACAGTTCTCGCTCTACATCCATTCAGCCTATCCCTGCCTAACATGGTTGAACCTACGAACCAAGTTGCCCGCCGGATCTTCTGCACCTTCAAGGGCTGCTACCGGTATTTCCCTACCGAAAGGGAGCTTATCAAGCACAAGAAGCATACCCCCGAGCACGACTACTGTGCCCGATGCGATGAAGACTTCGAAGACGAGGAAAGTTTTTTTATCCACAAGCTCGATAGCAACAGGCATATCGCATGTCCTATCTGTGGAGACGAGTTCAAGAGTGAAGGAGGACGCGATGCCCACTTGCGCCAGGTAACGTGTCTTCTGCTGACGAGATGCTCATGCCTTGCTTTGGGCCGCCTGTTTAATATATTGTTCATCTACCTGATATCTGGAATGATAGATCCACCCCACAGACCAGGCTCTAGAATGTGTTGGTTGCCATACCAAGTTCAGTCGCGCACATGCCTTGATGATGCACATCGAAAACGACAGATGCCCTGGAATCACCAAGGATCAATACAAAGCTCAGCGAGCCCAGAAGCTCGCTACCAGAGTAGCCTTGGAGGGTAAAGCGGGCGATAGCAAAGGGCTTTCCCGTGCAGGGCGTGGAGCTGCCGCCGGTTCGACTGTCGAAAGTGTAGATGGCGGTGTTGAAATCACCATGGATCCCTCTGAGTTTCCGCCTCTCGGAAAAGGGAAAGCAAAGGTGGAGTCTCTGCCCCATTTGGCCGTTGGAGAAGGCCCCGACGCCTTTGACGACACGGTTTCTGAGGTGAGCGGAGTGGCTCGTAGCATCAAGCACTGGCCGATGAGTTTTCAGCAGAAAAACGACAGCCTTGAAGATCTTATGGCCTTCTCCGATATTGAATCGACTGAGAAAGCCCAAACTGAGCCCGCATCGAGCGAAGTGGGAGGAATCGAGGAGGACTGGGAAGATCGCCCACCAGAACTCGTCGAAAGTGAAAAGAAGATGCCTCAGCACTTCGTCATCTGGGACACAAAACGGTACTATAACAGCGTTCTCGGAGCGTATATCTGTCCTTGCGATAAGGTGTTCAAAACTGGCGACGAGCTTTCCAAGCATTTGGACTCTGGTATCCATGATGGTGGAGTTGTCTAGTATGTCCCAATCAATATACCAATTCCACTCCTTTTTCGCAATGAATTGCCCTGTCTAACTAGAAATGTTTTAGTTGTGCTGGCTGTCTCCGTCCCTTCAATTTCACACCAGCGCTTATAGCGCACATCGAGTCGGTCACATCGCGTTGCAATATTCGCCATTCGGGCAACCTAGCAAAGGTCGTGGATGAGGCCTCCGGAGGGGTGATTGAGACGTGTGGTCACTATGCCGATGGGACTGCTAAATTTCATGCTGCCCCCAAGCAGGAAATTAAGCCAATGGATTTGGATAAAATCGCCTGGTGAGAGACCACAGGGTGCCTTCCCGTAGGTTCTTTCGGCGAGCAATTGGTGTGGAGGAATTTTCCTTTTTTACACGAAGCTATTAACTTCAGAATGCAACATCACAAGAAAATATGGGCCTGAATTTAATGCTCTGGGTGTCCTCATATATCATGCCCTATGCTAGGGAGCAAACCCAGGACTTTTTATCAGCTCTATCTAGGCTTTTCTTTTTTTTTTCAAGGTAATTGCGTTCGTCAATTCAAAATACTCGAGATAGTAATCAGCTTCAGAGGAGTCCTGAGCACTCTGAACCACTGTCCTCAATTTTGATCGTGTCGCCGGGGCTTGATACCGCATCGATCGAACGGCCGAGTGCAGCTTTGGTGGGCCGTATCCCTGTGCCAAGGCGGGGATTTCCCGAAGCAAGCGCCATAGCATCCGCTCCCGTTGGACTATTAAGCGCGGGATCTTCAACCGCCCGCCGCGTTCTCCCGGACTGTTTCACACGGATCAAGCCCTATCAGCGCCAAGGGTCGGAAGTGTCACCCAGTGCGGCCAGGGGGCCTGACAAGCCTCTGCGATCTCATACCTCTGTTGATATGATATGACTCGAAAACCCACATGTGCCATGATAACGGAAGAAGGCGGGTATGTTGCTTTCAAACCAAGAAAAGCGTCTAGGACATACATACATGAAGTGTGCAAAAAAAAAAAAACAAAAAAAAAAAAAAGAACCTTTAACGAAATACTGCTAATCCGACTGAGAGAATACCTTCGTTATAGATGCGTAATCTTGCTCGCATGAATAGCTGCAAAGATAAGTCTGAATAGATATTGCTTTGGGATGCCATGGTTGTATTTAGGCCTAGAAGTTGTTCTGTGCAGTTGCAGATGGCCAAAATGGGCTCTTCCCGTCGTTTTGGTTTTGATGATTTCACTCAAAGTCTGTGACGGGTGCGCCCGGGTGGGTTGCGTGGGACGTGATGCCGAACTTGCCCAATGCCAGATCTCCATGCCAGCGACTGTGTAGGCTCCGACGGCCCACACAACCCAACAGTCGAACTGGAGTGCCTTCACGTTTACCCCCGAGCACCAGAGTGGAGTTGTGAAAGCACGGCGTAGCTGCTTTCAATTCCTTTGATTTTTCTTTTTCTTTCACGGTTCTGCATTCCTCTCATCCGTTCTTTCGCTGTCACTGGTATATTTGTTCACCCCAATGGCATCCCGGATATGATCCATGATCAAATCGCCGTACCCTTTTCCTTCCTCCAGCGCCTTTCTCTCCTCCTCCATCCGCTTCTCCTTCCATCCCTCTGTCTCCTCACCCATCCATATCTTCTTCCCCAACTCAGCCAGCACCGGCCCACCATCCTCCTTCTCCGCGCCCTTCTGCGCCTGCTGCCGCTGAAACTCCTGCTGTCTCGCAGCCTCTCTCGCACGGCGTATCTGCTCCCTCACCTCCTCCGCCCTCTCAGTGGGCAGGTCTCTGAAGATGCTAGGTGGCTTCTGGCCCTCGAAACGTGCTCCGAGGCGCTGCATGATGCTTTTACCGGTCTGGTCGGCCGTCAAGTAGTTTGCGGAGAAGAAGAACGCGGAGGCGAGGGAAACGCTGTACAGATCTAGCTTTCGCGGAGGGAGGGCGATGAGTATCGGCGCCGCGACAACAAAGGTGATAGAGGCATAGCGCTTGAAAAGGAGGTAGTCCTCGGAGTGGGGGAGTGGTTTGGTGCTGTCGCTTGTGCTAGACGTAGACATTGTGTGGAGCGGTGTATGCAATTGTGCCTCCCGGTGCCGGTTTAGAGGAAAAGTGATTGGCAGAGACAGACAGCTGCTTGAATTTTTGCTCTTGGTGCTCTCTTGTCGACGCAATTCAGTCTCAAGAAATTTTGCTTTCGGTGATGCTGATTGGCCGAAAGTCAGCTACACGGATAATTTGTTCATCCGAGTCACCGCTCATCACGTGAACACCCAGCTGGCCCAAAAAGGGAAAACGATCAAAGTAGTCCGTTTGAGGTGAAAGGCGACGGGAGATCAAGGTAACAAAGGCTTACATTGGAACTCGATCGAAGCACAACTCCTGGGGCATTAACCTGTATAGTTATTACGTTCAAGGCAATATTGACCAACTGCTGAGCTATGAGCTATAAGATGTTACCTCCAGAGCAAGTCAAGGGAAGCTAATTGATGTTTTAGATATTTTTTTCATTTTAATGCATACTCGTTGTAATAATACATATCCATCTAACCGTTAAACTCAAAACCATATCCAACTCGAGAAAGGACCTCAGGAGGAAGAGGGTACAGAGATGCATATCCATCGGGAAGATCATCCTGTGCAACCATATTAGTGTGATTCTTGCAATGGGAGATAGTGGCTACTTACAAAGATTGGTTCGCTATAACGCTTGTATAGATGGGTATAGTTTAGGACGTAAGTAGGTCTGGATCGAGAATTAGCAGGCTAGGAACATACTACGAATGGGAGAGGGAATGCATTGTTATACTCACGAGGACTTCCATGGAAAAGAAAAAAAAAAACAAACCAGGCGAGGGAAGATTTTTGGAAACGTTTCATATCGTGTATGTTTCGAGCAGCGGCGCAAGCTTATGGGTAGAAGTCGTCTCTCGGGCGAGAGTAGAAGCGGATACCTTATGTCGCAAGCCTCTGCGCAGGTATAAAAGAAGGCACGGGATAAAAAAGAATAGCCATGCCTTATGTCCTGAGCTTCAGCACAGGCTTAAACGCAGGCATAGTGGACGTGGATTTTTTTATTTTTTTATTTTTTTTTTTTTTTAGACCATGCCTTATAACCCGGGCTTCAGCACAGGTATAAAAGCAGGCACGGTGGATGTGGAAATTGACCATGCCTTATAACCCAGGCTTCAAGCGCAGGTATAAAAGCAGGTATAGTGGATGTTTTTTCTTGGTAAAAGAACCATGCCTTATGACCTGGGCATCAGCACAGGTTTAAAGGTAGGTATAGTGGATGTGGATTTTCCCTTTTTTTTTTTTTTTTTTTATAAGACCGTGCTTCATAACCTGAGCTTCAAGCGCAGGTATAAAAGCAGGTACAGTGGATGTGGAAGCTTTTTTTTTCTTGGTAAAAAGACCATGCCTTATGACCTGGGCATCAGCACAGGTTTAAAGACAGGTAAGAGAGAAAAAGACCATACCTTATAACCTAGGCTTCGGCACAGGTATAAAAGCAGGCACAGTGGATGTGGGATTTTCTTTTTTTTTTTTTTTTTTTTTTTGTTTTGGAAGACCGTGCCTTATAACCTGAGCTTCAAGCGCAGGTATAAAAGCAGGTACAGTGGATGTGGAGTTGCTTTTTGTAAGACCGTGCCTTATAACCCGGGCATCCAGCACAGATATAAAAGCAGGTATAGTGGATGCGGAGTTTTTTTTTTTTTTGTAAGACCGTGCCTTATAACCCGGGCATCCAGCGCAGATATAAAAGCAGGTATAGTGGATGTGGATTTTTTTTTTTTTTTTTTTGGTAAGACCGTGCCTTATGCCTCGAGCTTCAGCGCAAGCTTAAAGACATGTATAACGGGAAGAAAGAGATCGGGCTTTATTCGAGCTTCAGCGCAGGTTTAAAGACAGCCATAAGAGGGGGAAGAGAACATACTTTATATTTAGGGCCCGAGTCAAGCGAATTTGGCGCATATCCATTCTCAAGGAATAGTTGGTCTGTACCTCTTGCACATATCTTTTATTCTCTCAGCGCAGGTTCAAAGGCAGGAATACGTAAAATCAAAAAAAAAGAAAAAAAAAAGGAAAAGGCAGTTAACAAGATAGCAGATTAGCAACAGTAAAACAGGTTGCTTGAGGGTTCAAGCGCGTGGTTTTCGTCACAAGCTGATAGCTTTGAGAAAGAAAGGAAAGAAAATGAGAAGGAAAAGATCAAGATCAGCAGGGGGTAAAGGGGGTATTTATAGTCGTCCGGCTTTGGTGGGTGAGTCACTGACTGCAATCATTCGACTATTCAGCAGGAAGGGAAATAAGAGCATTGAATCAGAGCATTGAGTCAGACAATGACCCAGTGCATTCCAGTCAGAGAGGTTCCAAGGTATGAGGAAGGATGGGAGTCATGATAGAGTGTGCACGAATGTTGATAGAGTCACCGAGGCAACCAGCTCCCTTCCTTTCTCAAAACAAGAATGAACCTAGTCGTAACGAAAGTTTAGCTTACCCGCGGATACCCAGCCAGGAATTTCCCGGCTTGACGTCGCTGAGTGACTCTATAACTGCCTAGGGGGAAAGCGTCCAGACAATAACAGTAAGCACCGAAACTGCCATGCAATTGCTCACAAATCCATGGTATATTCAAACTTTATTGAGTGGCCAAGGCAGAATTTACTTCCTGCAAACTCGTAAGATGCGTCGACCGTCGCGAGAGTTCGTTCCTGCTCGACCGCTCTGCTAAACTGGGGGAAGGTAAGGACAGCTGCCAAAAAGCTTCAGAGCCCAAAATTGCCTCGCCAAAACTCTGGGGGGAAACAGCATAACCCAATAAAAATGTTGTCTCTTACCGTTAACTTTGTATATCAATATCCAACCAAAAGCTGGCAGGACCAAACTGCGTCCGATACGTATAACACGAAATCAGCAGGATCCACGCTGGCTTCGCTACTACTTCCCGACACTACCTTCTGGCTCTCTTTCCGACGACATCTCGTTCAATATAGTAGTCATCTAAGCCTCGCCTTTTTACTTGAGCCATATGGGTTATCAGTACTGGTTTGTGCTGTGTGAAGACCGTCCTGGGGATTGAGCTTCTTTCGTTTCAGGGCCGAGTGGCTGGGACCAGAGTGGCTGTCAGTCGCCGAGCCATGACTATCTCTTTTCCGTTTCTTTTCTTTCTTTCCAGCTCGGTTTCGTCGTGCTTCGTCTTTTAGCCTCAGACGTGCCTCCACCTCCTCGGATATATCCTCAACGTCAATCGTTGGGATATACGGAGTTACTTCAGCAGCGCTACTCTCAGAGTCACCATGTAATTTCGCTGTGTCGCAAAGGCGCTTGCACTTCTTATTGGAGTTTGCCTCTCGGGGCTGCTGATGAGTGTTTTCGTCTTCTTCTTCGCCATAAGATCGCTTCTTGTTGCTTGGCCTCTCTGGCTGTTGGTCCGAACCAACGGATGACTTTTTGTCAGGGACAGGCGCATCATGCGCAGCTACACCTCCGGCATTTCTCGACGCCGTGTGGCGAGCATCTTGGCTGCCCTGTCTGGTACCTTCGATTATGCCGGTACCCCGGAGCGGCTTAGGATTTAAAATTAGCATTCAGTAACAATCATAAATGATAAAGAGACTCACGAGTTGATCTCGAATCTTCTCCAAATCCTGCATGAGCTGCTGCGTAGCTTGGATAATGGAAGAGATGACTTTGACTGAGTCAGGATTGGAAGAGACGCGTTTCTTTACCATGGCACACACTTGAATGTGGGTGCGTAGATTCAAGTCATGGCGCGATAATATCTAGAGAAGAGGAAAACATTAATGAGCAAACATATTCCCATGACGCACTTGACTTGTTGACTCTCTTGTTGCTCACATCCGGCCACTGAAATGTGTGACTTTTTCTCGAAATACCAGCCAACGGCATATTTCCCGACCCAGAATCCACTTGCGTTCGTATTCGCGTAGAAAATATATTATTGAACATTCAAAACACAGCTTTTAATATGGGGAATCAAACTTTTTTTGAACAATCCCTGTTTCTTGTTGTTGTGATGCTTGAGGACGCGCTTTTGAAAGGTTTGGCGCAGAGAAGGCGAAGGTCAACAAAGCCGAGACGTTGGTTTTAGTTTCCTTTGATTGGCCGCAGCTTTAGGCGTGGCTCGTTCGCCAGGTTCGCTTGGCGCCGCAGAATGTATCAGCCGCAATTCCCAACCTAATTTTGGCGCTTGCGGGAGCTTAACTGCGATAAGCTTTGCGTTGCATTCTGCAGAGATGCCAGCGGGAAAAAGCAAACCAAAGATGACTCGAAATTCTGGTGCGCGGTGGTTACTCACACATAGCACGGTAAAGACGTGGAACGAACAAGACAGTCATCTACAAGCTTATAAGTCATAGCCTCTGTCGGTCGAGTCACCAAACCTTTGGATCTCCAGCTCGACAAGGTCGATGGAATCTTCTCGGATGGCTTTGGAAGTTCCACATGGTGCGCAGTCGACCCCCCAACGGCAACCTCACCAGTCACACAAGCTTCAATACCACAGATAACGTGCGGCGTCTTAATGAGAGCCTCAGGCAACGGGCTACGCTGGAACTGAAGACCTAAAAGCTCAATAAACTAATATTGTCATTGCTCATCCGGACTATGATTAAATTATTTCTCTTTATGACCTATAATTGATCAATATAGAATACAACTCTAGTAAATTCCATCATACACATACATGTAGTAGGTCATAACGAAAAAAAAAAAAAAAAAAAGCTCATTCAGGGATCAACAGACATCGATACTCATCCCAGATCCATTACACATCCCAGTCGAAAAATATGACATCGTCGAGGAATTTCTCTTGGCACGCCCTACCATGCACCGAGGTCGTGGTCGAACCTCGCCAGCTCCCTCTCTGCATCCTCCACGTCTTTCTTCGCCTTCATCCTCATGTAGAATATAGGACAGTCTCGACTCGAGCAGATAACCTCGCAGTGTAGACTCCCCTGACACCTCTGACACTGTGTCCATAATCGTCCAAAACGGACTTCTAGATCCGATACCTTGTTCAGGGTTTTGGAGTACAGCTCGCCTAGACGGGGCCGGCAATTCTCGCAAACAGCCCCCTCTTTCTCATCTTTATCGACGAGTGGTTTCTTGCATCCCATGCACGTTTGGGTCTTTTTCGCAAATTTCATTAATCCACCAAGAGTAGGTGCCGCTACGGAAATAGAGCGCGTATGCTCCCCGGTTAGTAATTGCGCAGATCTTCTTTCACCGAGAATGGGATCGAAAATTCTAGCGAGCGGTTTTGCGAGCTGGTTATCAAGGTAGTACTTTGTATCAATGGGGATATTGTTTTCGAGGACGTAGATGGGGTCTTCGGACTTCTCATAGTTCTTTGAGCCAGTAGCGCCTTTGACGATAACGTACGCAACACGGTCACCAAGCGTAGGAGCTGATCCTACATCGCGTTTTCTCATTCGCTCTGCTAACTCCACATGAGCTTGTTTTGCCGAGTAATCTGACTTCGAGAGAGCTTTCGTAATGACAAGCTTGGACATATCGACTTTATTTTGAAGTAAATCGGCAATGGTGTCCTTGACGTAACTGTCAGATCCGTTAGCACGTAAGCCATCTGCAATGGAAGCCGCTAACCATACCTTTCTGCCCCGTTTACATCTCTGTCAATGAGAATCTTCTTCAGGACAGTCTCAATGACCGTCTGGACCAAGCGACAATTATCTCGTCGGACAGTTTCAATACCTTTGCTATCCATCTTATCAAATTTGTTCGGATTTGTCCAAAAGAGGCCGGCGTAGCGCTTTTTGTTAATAAGTAAATAAGGGAAATAAACCTTCTCGAATTCGAGTTTGATCGGCTCCAAGAACTTCGCCGAAACGAAGTCCGCAGCCTCTTGTCCCAACTTCATAGCCTCAGCGATATCCTTCACCCCAAATTTAACCATAACAGAGTCTGTGTCCCCATATATGACCTTAGCATCATAAGGATACCCGTTTGCCATCGTAAATCGGGCCTCGACTTCATCTTTCGTCTTCATGATCATTTGTCTACCATAACTTGTTGTGCTACTGGCAATAGCCAAACAGGGTAATTTCCCGTTGCTTGCACCGGTGATACCGTACACACTGTTGGCACTAATCTTCAAAGCCAGTTGTCGCCCGTTCAAAACGGCCTTCTTGAATGGGTCAGTTTCAACGGCGAGTTCTTTCTTCGCTCGTTTTCTCGCGGATAATAACTCCTGTAGAATTTGACTCAAAAGCCCTTTTCGGACCTTGGACGTGCAAAACATGTCACCATTTGGCGTCACAATATAATCTTCGTCTTTCTTCAAGTTGAGTTTTTCAACGCTAGTCTTGTTAAGAAGGGTGGTATAACAGAGGTTATGTGCCTGAATGATGCTAGGGTATAGAGATGCAAAATCAAGCGTGGCGATCGGGACGTCGTAGTAGTCCTTGACCGGCTCGATGACTGTTGCGCCTTTGTATTGTTCTTCACCATTCTCGTTCTTAAGGTTGGGGATCACCAAGTCCTGCTCTAAAGCCTTCCTAAAGAGCTGAGAAATGAATTTGACTTGCTGTCCGCGAGATAGAAGAAAATTAAAAGGAACACCAGTAACTCTGGCCATTTCAGTATAATTCACGAGACACATCAATTTGTCCATTAGCCGCTGAGGGAGATAGGCGTCCTTCAAACAATAAACAGCCAGACGTCGTCGAGAATCAGGCGTACCATTGTACAGCTCGGTAATCATGGTGTGATGTACATCTTCCTTCTGCTCTCCTAGGAAGTGGGAACAGACAGAGTTTAGAGTATAGTTTCGAAGCTGATGATCACGCTGGATCAACTGCAAAAGATCAAGTTGGATTCGTCCGTTGGTATTGGTAGCTTTTGTATCCCTATTACCCATCTGTTTGCTGGAGAAGTTGGTGTCCTTCGACTGTGAAACTACGTTTTTGAGTCTCGACCAGTACGGAAAATCGTCACAGTTAAGGTGTCTCGCACGGTCAAGTAAGTAGGGAAAATCGAAGTTTGCGATGTTGTACCCGATGATCACATCGGGATCCACCTTCTCTAGAAACTCTCTCCAGGCCATCAACATCTCCTGCTCCGTCTTAAAGTCTAATATTTGTGTGTTCACGATCAGGCTGCAGCCATTTAAGACGAATACGTTTCGAACAAAAGGTTTAGATTCGCCATATCTGGTAACAACATTGGCGATTTGAATAACTGGGTC